CCGAACGAGGCTCATTTCAGCTTGCAAGCGTGAAATGAATGCGTTGTATAAGTATCTGATGTAAATTATGGTTGTGTAGTCTTCGGTTCGGTAATATCTGATTGCTATATACGTGGAAGTTGCATTCTCTAAAGAAGGAGAGAAGGTACGAGCTAATGTTCGGTTTCGCGACTATCGTTTCTACATTGCAATTTCATTTTATAGATATTTTAAATTAATTTTAGTCTCTGGTCGAGGAGTCTTCCGTTGCCGTGTTACATGATTTATGCCTTCCTCCGCCTCTTCGCGTTTTGAGTCATTAATAAAGTTTGAGCGACCGAGGGAAGTATTTAAGCGATACTGATTGGCTTCGATTCGATTATGTTAATAAATTGTAATCTTTTAATGTCTCCTAAGGAATAAAAAATTGTCCTTTTATCCCAACAACGATAGGAAAGTTGTTAGAAATGAGTTCATAATACGAATAATTGTATTTTATGTTTTATTGTCTTTCTCGTATATTTTCGTATAATTATTGTTACGTAATAAAAACGCACTTTCCGTCCAACTCAATAGTTTTATGCGTTGATCATGTGTGTCTAGACTAGTTATTTTAATAACCTAACTGGTGAGGCATGTATTTATGGTTGTGACCGGAGCCTGAAATTAGAGCATGGTTACTGTAAGCATAAGACCAAATGTTACAATAATTAATACCAAACATCAAGTAACATTGGAACAGAACATATTTCCCCCATCGATAATGGTCATCGGCAATAAAAAAAAATCTCTTTATTCAAAAAAGTAATTTTGAATAGAATAATTTCCTTGTTTGAATCGTTCCTTACGTATCTAATCAGAAGGGAACTTCATCAGAATATGGAGGCGCTGGAAAAATATTTTTGGACTATCTGAGAGAACTTATTTTTCAAATTCTGTATTTCTGACCAAAGAATTCCATATTTCCAAATTTTGAGGAGGGATTATTTTCACCCTCTAAAAATGCATGTTGAACGATAAAAAAAAAATACGCGTAAAAAATTGCAAGAATCGTGTACTAACGGTAGTGTTAAAAGAAACGAAAGAAGTTCTTAGCACTGACGAATCTATAATAGGATCTGAACTGGTGAAATGCAGTCTCTATCAAACCATAAGTGCACCATGACTGGTCTCCGCGTTATTGCACTACAGAAAGGTCGTGCTGGGGTGCGTCAAGTATGGCTCTCGACGTGTTTTCTTGCAGGGTCATCCAATCGAGCCTACTATTTACACGAGACAACCCCATCGAAGATAAACGCGGTGCCCCTTGAACCGAAAAGACCGGTTCTCGGTACATTTTTCACACGATTCGTTGTGAAAATTGACGCGTTCGCTCGATGACTTCATGAAGCCTCGCGCTACGAGTGTTTAACAAACGTATTTCGTTTTTAATTTAACCGAGTGTTATTCAGAGACATTTTCCACAACGTTTCAACTCCGAGTACCGATCGAAATTTATAACACCTTAATCCGGAAACTTTAAAGACTAAGACAGTGGTCTAAAACCACTATTTAGACAATATTTTAAACAAGTTACTTTTCTTAAAAACATCATTCTTATATAGTTACAAATTTTTAAGAACCTACTAAAATTAATGGAAACATTCAATTTTCTATATTTAAAATTATCGATATACTCTTAAAATACACCTCTTCGAAGCTGGACTCTCGAGTTAATGTCGATGAAAATGTTTTTGAACGTTTTTCACTGTTGGATGAAAGTGACCGTGCAAGCGAGTTCTCATTTTTTTTTAATCGGTCGGCGAGAAAATTCGATAGCTTTGTTACTAAAAAACGTTAACCTTGAACTCCGAATACGTTGTTGGCTTGTACACGACCTACCCCATGACGAGGCACGCGATGCTGGTAGCGAGTCGAAGCAGATGAACACGTGCAGCCAGTGTAAATATTTAGCCTTTGGAACATTTGCACGTCGTGCTTCTACTTTTCCTCTTTATTCCGCTTCTGAAGATCCGAGCTGTCGACCTCTACGCCGAGTCTACAAATATATACGGCGTCTTTCGATTACGTTTGCACGAAATGATTAGATCCCTTCTGGCGGTCCGTGTTTCCATTTTTGTTCGTTTTATCCATCCTTTGAATAATTTATTATTATACATTATTAACTATCGTGGTCACGACATTAACGAAATTATTCGTCCCATCGACGCAAAATAAATATCTTTTACGTTCCAAAAGCTATCTGGTTTTCATTTTTATACGTTTCATCCAACGTTTTAACAATTTGTTAATTAACATAGTTACCTCGATTTTTTAGAAAATGAACAAAGATTTCGAACGTAAGTTAACCACGGTTCAATTGACTGTAAATTATAATTGAGTTATTTTGATGGAAAAATCAAGATTAGCGACCATTCAGAAAAATTCTCTTCGACCAAGAGACAACATCAACGTAATTATGCATCTCACTCAAAATAAATGTTTTTACGCCGCGAAAGTACACTAAATAAATGGTGAAACCCTCAGAACGGTTTGCTTGGAAGAAATTCCTAAAAAATGCGGTACTTTCTACCTAAAAGGAACCATTTCCCTCTTTAAAGGAGGTCCTGCAAAGTCTGTTCGGAGAAGAGTCTGGGATGATTGTTCGGGCAGAGTGGAGGGAATCTGGACCCCCAAGGTTTAATATTAACAAGCAGATTTCCATGTTCCGACTAGTTAGAAGAATCGGGGAGCATATCTACATGCGCACGGCTATCGAGGGAGTAAAAGGATCGGATAATTGAAGCCCGCTTCCCCGGGACTCCGATCGAGCGTTCCGGCCCAAGTCCTTAGAAGGAAACGGACCCCGCTGGTATCGCGGACATGCGATCTGTCTTTATGGTCCGAAAGTGGGCGTCGGCCCCGGCCTCACAATGCCGGCGTAACGACGACACAACGAGGACAACGACAACGACAAAGACGGACCCGACGAGAGAACGGACTCCTGTCTTGTCGATCCGACGCGTGTCTGTCCGCTGACACGACTCGCGTCCTCGGTAGTCCTCGTGAGTTACCGTTGCTTCGGACAAATTACTCAACAAATTTTTAATAACAATTTCTGCCTCTGTAATCAAGCTTTTCTTCCACCCAAATTGCAAAAAATAACAGTTATTTGGCCCCCATTTAAAAAGTGTGAATCATCGGTGGTTCCGTAAATCTAGTGTTAATAACACAGTAAATGTCTCTAAGTGGAAAAAATATATAAGTCACACATATTATTTAATAGTCAAAGGGTTAATATCATCCAGGATATCAGGACAAGTAGAAAAGGCGATCAATGGTCAGACGCATCATATCGTATCAAATTCAATTATCTCGAAAACGAAAGCTCGAACGTAAAAATGATATTCGTTCTGTTCGACTTATTTTTACACATAGAATATAATTTTGTCGTGTATAATCGAACGTACGTAAAAATGAAACAACGTGCATCAGATTATGCAGTGTCCCCTTTATTTCGATTTACAGTTATCACTAGACTGCATATCTTTATGCAAATTCATATTTTTATCAATAAAATTAATGAAATGGTAGCTTTGTAGAGCATTGTCTGAACCCCTAAATATAATTCCATACTTTTATAAAAATTAAAATTTCCCATAAATGCATGAAGATTCCCAGTCTAGTTATTATATTAGGTTGTCCGGAAAGTTCTTTTCGTTTTTTTAACAGGTATTAAGTATAAAATATTTTGGGTTCTGTGTACTATTCTTGAATAATATATGATCCGTTCTGTTCTACCACCTTTTGCCATCGCTCCGGAAGCCTCATAATGCCGCTTTTCCAAAATTCCCTTGCCTTACTGTTAAAATATTCTTCGAGGCCGTTTTTTATTTCATTAACTGATGTGAATTTTCTATTGCGAAGAAAATTTTTGAGGGAAAGGAACAAATAATAGTCCCATGGTACAAGGTCTGGAGAGTGTGGAGGATGCGGTAGAACATCCCAATCAAGCTCTAAAAGTTTTGTTCGCACAGGTAAAGAAACGCGTGGCCTCGCGTTGTCGTGATGGAACACGACGCCACGTCTATTCACCAATTCTGGACGTTTTGCAATGATAGCCTCTTTCAGTTATTCGAGTTGGGTGCAATATTTCTCACTGTTAATCGTTTGCCCTTGCGGAAGTAACTCGTAGTAAAGAACACCCTTCCAGTCCCACCAAATTGAAAGCAATATTTTCTTCGGGCGAAGTCCAGCATTTGCTACCGTTAAAGAACTCTTATTTCGACTCGACCAAGATCGTTTGCGTGCAGTGTTGTCGTAGAGGATCAAAGTTTCATCCCCAGTAATCAAACTTTTCAAAAACGGCTCTCTTTTGTCACGTTGGATGAGTAAATCGCATGTTGAGATTCGGTTCAGAAGATTGCTTTCCGTCAGTTGATGAGGGACCCACACTTCGTAGCGTTTAACGTATCCAAGCTTTGTCAAATGTTCATAAACCGTTGTTCGCGGAATGTTTGAAGCATTTGCTATCTCACGAACACTAGATCTTGGGTTTTCATCGAGGTAGGCCTTGATAAGGTCAGTATCAGTGGTGGATGGACGGCCGCTGCGATCTTTATCTTTAAGGTTAAAATTTCCGGCTCTAAACCTTCTAAACCAATTACGGACTGTTTGAACAGTTATAGACTGGCCCCCATAAACGTCACAAATCTTCTTTGCAGTATTTTCAAACGTACTGCCTTTTTAAAAGCAGTAAAACATCACATGACGCAAATGCATCTTTTGGTTTTCCATCTTTCACAAGGCGAAAAACACTCGACAAACTTTCTACTCATGTCAAAAACTGTTCTCTTGTACTGCCAGAGGATGACTAATAACCATACAGTTGACGGTAGAGTGCTCTGGTTGTTTGTTTACTTAAACGTAGCGAGACAAGGCCTTAAGCGACGAACGCGAAAAGAACTTTCCGGACAACCTAATACATTTAATTTCGATTTATAGAAAATAATCTAACGCGTTTCGGACGATTTTTGTTTCAGGTGTATCAAGTGGAATACGTGATAGTGAAAGCAGCGAATTCCCCGCGACCAGCAGCTTGGATTTTGGAGAGATCCCTCGACGGGGAAAATTATCAGCCGTGGCAGTATTACGCGCCGAGCGACGAGGAATGTTGGTCGCGATACTCCGCGCCGCCAGTTTCCGGAAAACCCGTTTACATCGGCGACGACGAAGTCATATGCACCAGCCTCTATTCCAGACAAACGCCTATGGAAAACGGAGAGGTAACTCCATTGTTTACGATATACGTAATGCACGGTTACGATCCTAACACGCTTTTCTGAATTAATTTCTTCTCGTTACATTTTCTCGAGTGTAGTACAGACCACTCTTCTACCATTCTACATTGATAAAAGTCAATATAGAATGTACACCTTCGAAAATGATAAACAATTTTCATGTTTTTTCTTTTCTCATAAATCTGAAAGTGTATGTTTTGCACCAAGTTGATTTAATAACATAATCGGTGACACTGGCGAGCAAACAATATGTGTCAGTATGTGGGCTCATACACAAGATCGAAGGGAATGTTGATTGAAAAACGTAGAATCGTAAGACGAGAAAGCCCAACGGTGCTCGTCCTGGATCTTTTACGACTGTCAATCATTGCCCGTTCCCGTTAAGAAGTAGCGGTGTGTTATTATTCGCGTTCCTCGCCAAAAATCCCAGGCACGAAAACAGCTGTTAGGCCGCCATGTTGTGGCAGCCGTTCGAAACGAGATCATTAATTACCGTGCATTCTGTGCGGCCGCTCGTATAATTACATGATTGGATGATTAGCTGGCCGATCGTTTAACGCTGTACGCGTCGAGGCGCGGAACGTCTCGACGGAAACGACTCCTCCATGGTATTTCCGGCGAACCAGTGGCTTTTTGTCGGTCTTCAATAGTCCCTTCGATATAGAGTAATTTCAACGCACTTGGTACAATGACACGATGATTGGAATCTGGATCGACGAATCGGGGGAAGATTTATCGGCGTGAAATCGACGATTCTTACTCAACCCTTCGTAAATTCGATGACAACGTTCAAAAGAATTCCTATTTTTTAGACACGATTGAAAAGTGTTTTTAGAAGAATTACATTTACGTAGTTTTTATTCAATTTTAATAGTTCCCTTCCTCTGCTCGCAAAGATAAATCGTGGAATTTTTTTTTACATTATACAATAACTCTCTTTTTTGTTAAACTATATTTTTAAAGCCTCTAAGCCTTCCAGGAATGTTGTAATCGGTCGAATTATAAAAATATTTATATAAAGCAAAATTCTAGCGAATTTAGTCATCATAACCATCAATATTAGAATTCCTAGTTCTTAGATACAATTGAAAAGTATTTTTAAAAGAATTATATTTACGTTTTGGTAGTTTTTATTCAATTTTAATAGTTCCTTTAGCTTCCGGGAATGTTATAATCGATGGAATTATAAAAAAAATTAATAGAAACCAATGTTCAAGCGAATTTATTCACCATAACCACTAATATGGAACTTTATCAAGATGGTGGAGCAAATGATCATTTTTAACGGATCCATAAGAGTAGAATTTCTATTTTTTAAATACAATTGAAAAATGTTTTTCAATGTTTCGGTAGTTTTTATACAATTTTAATAGTATCATGTTTCCCTCTTCTTATAAAAATATAAAAAATTTTCGTGGAATTTTTTTAAAGTTATAGAATTATTCTTTTTGTTTCAAATTTATACATTTTTAACTTCGTGTTTTAGCTTCCAAGTAAAATTATTTCGATGAATATTATAGTCGATATAATAAAAATATTTATAAAAAGCAAAGTTCGAGTGAATTTGGTCACCATAGCCATTAACATGGTACTATAGCAAAATGGTGAAACAAATGATCATTTTCTATACATACAGTAGAGTAAAATTCCTATTTTTTGGATACAATTAAAAAGTATTTTTAAAAGAATTATATTTCTGTAGTTTTTATTAAATTTTAATAGTTGCTTTCCTCTACTCGTAAAGATAAATCATGGGATTTTGTTAAAATTGTATAATAATTCCTTTTGTCTTAAATCATATTTTTAAAAACCTCGTATCTTGGCTTTCAACTAAAATTATTTCGATGAACATTATAATCGATATTATAAAAAAATTCATAGAAAGCAAATTTGAAGCGAATTTAGTCACCAACGACCATCGATATGGTACGTTTGCAAGAAGGCGAAGGCAACGTATCGACGATGCTAATTTCGTAGGCGGTGGCCCTAGCTGGCGTCGCGAAGCGTCGATCGAGAGTTAGGTTCGTCGTGCAACGTCTACGCAAGATCCGGTCGAATTTCATTGTCGCAAGACCATAAACCGTCCGCGAAAGTGAGTCAAGAGCTCACGGTGGGGGGAAATTAGCGGATTTCTCGGAAGACCGGCAGATAATTAGAGCTTATAGCCGTGCACCCGAGATCGGTTTTGTGCAAACTGGAAGGTGGATGAGAAAAGGAGAAGGACGGAGGTATCGGTCGTGGATGTAGCGGAAAAGGGAGAAGGAATCGATGATACAAAAACGGCGATCCCTACATTCCGGCCATGTATGGCTCAGGCTGACCTTATATGGTGCTATCACGTACGCACCTCTAGGGGGGGTTTTGCCAGCTTTACGCTTCTGTACGCGGGTAGAACTCGAGGGGGGAAAAAATCGGTACCCGAGGAACGGGGAATCGACGGACAACCGAGGAATCGGTGTTCAGAGTTCGAGAACCAGCCCAACAGGGATTTCAAAACTCTCGTAATATCGATTTCGGTTGAAATACCTACGAAAATCCGAAATTGTTTACAACCAGAATGCAAATGTACATTTATGAGAAATTTTAATTCCTAAAGAGAATTATAATAGTTACGACACGAATTATTGTATTTAAGGGTTGAGGCAAACCCATGCAAACCTTCAATTTAATTCTGTCAATTCAATTACCACTGATATTTTTCAAATTGGCTATGAAAGTTTGAAGCAAAGAAGAAAAATAAAAATTTCAATTAAAACTTAATGTAATATAAAATCAGAAATAGATTAGGTTTGGCTTCATTGAGGAAATTTAATAATTTTAATACGTTATGCATATAATTAATCATCAGTTCTATTAATAGAAATACGAATTTTCATAAAGATCCGCTGTCTATTTATATACTATTATTTAAAATCGATTTACGTTGCGGTTCTGTGATCGGTTTTGATATCAGTTCCATTTTGGTACCACAGTGGGACCAAAAAATTATTCTGCCAGTCAAAGTTTCGACATTTTGAAATTTTTATTTGAAAATAGCTTAAAACTATTATTGTAATCGGTTTAGGTCACAGTTCTAAGATCGGTTCCATTTTGGTACCGTAATGGGATCAGAAAATTATTCTCTCAGTAAAGGTTGTGACATTTTGAAATTTTTATTTGAAAGTAGCTTAAAACTATTATTGCAATCGGTTTAGGTCACAGTTCTAAGATCTGTTGTAATATCGGTTCCATTCTGGTACCGCAGTGGAATCAGAAAATTATTCTCTCATGCGAGGATCCGACATTTTGAAATTTTTTATTTGGAAATACGTATAACAAAGATTCGAAAAGTTGTGATTTATTACGAAATTTGATTATACCGGTTCCTCGGACATTTTCATGCTACAGACGTTGAATAATAGTTTAAACCCGTATATTATATACTTAATGATCGTATGTTACAATTTAAATCGCGACTTAATCTGTGAAAGAGTTTTAATAGAACGATGTCTGGCGCCTTCGCGAGTAAAATAAGCGCGAAAAGGTGAACGTTTGATAAAAAAAATTAAGTGTAGGAAAGTGTAGGTTCGTGCATTCCGAAAGCCGTGTAATTGTTCCGTATTAGGAGCCGCTTATTCCCATTTATAGGACTCGTTTTCTTAACGCACAACGCCATTCGCGAATGATTTACTCCTTCGGACTCATTGTCAGTGTTCTTCAGAATTTACTACCGTAACCAAGCGTTTCGATTTCTCGCTGCTCGTTGCTCACGCGCTAATCACTCGTGCTGTAATTTACGTCGATAAGCGTATAACATCGGAGCTTGTCAAATATAATAAACCTAAAACCTACAATATCATTTACTACGTGATTATTTTTATTTAGAATAGAATTAATTATGATTAATTCCTTTGTTTTTTTAATTAAAAAAATCATATACATTAAGATTTTGGATTAGAGCTAATATTTCAAGAAACATTTAGTTTTGTTAAATAGTATCGTCCAAAAATATTGCAGGAATTATAAAAATTCACAAAAAATGCGAGCAAAGATCTAGATCTAGAAGTGTGAAAAAGAATTTTTTAAGGCAGTTTCGGTTCGAACGTTCTCCTTTAGATTTTCTAAAGAGTAATTGGACGCTTCGACAACGCGATCCTGTGACATTTGTGTTTATGAAACAGTAGGCTCGTACAACGATTTTCCTTTGTAGATCCATACTCACCTGGTGAACGGCAGACCTGGTGCCCTGAATCACAGCACGACCCTTCAAGAATTCACTAAGGCTAAATACGTACGACTACGGCTTCAGGGTCTTCGACGAAGCGGAGAGGCGATCGTGGATAAAAAACGAGCCTTCTACTCGATAAAAGAAATTAATATCGGTGGAAGGTGTTTGTGTTCCGGACACGCGGCTCGGTGTCGCTACAGCGTTCAACACGGAGTAAGTGGAACAAATCCTTCAAATTTCGTAACTAATATCCAAACAATATAGCAAAAAACATTAAATTCTTAAATTTGAAATTTTTAATGCTAAATTATAAAAATTTGAAATTTTTAATCTCTCATCGCCCGAAATTCCTTTCGATTCAACCTGTAATTTCGATACTTTAACCGACATTTTGTTTCCCCCTGAATTGTAGATATCCAATCAGATCAACGTGTAGCAATTTTCCTAACAAATAATTCGAACAAACACCAAATTTTAAGATTTGAAGTTTGTAATCTCACGTCACCCAAAATTTATTTCGATTAAAACTGCAATTTTGATACTTAAACATTTTGTTTCGCCCTGAATAATAGATCAGACCAATGTATATCAATTTATTCCATCGAACGGTTAAAATTTTGCTTCCTTTCGAAATATTTCTAATACGGAAATTTTATTCGGATAAGAATTTTGCCCATCCATAGTTGGAAGTCCGGATTAGGAAACCTTTAACAGATCGCGAGTTGCAGGATTCTTACGTACGCGTTATTAGTTAGGAGTGGTGCCATAATTTCACGTCTCGTAGAAACAGTACAGTATCCCGTTAGGGTTGGGTCTTGCAACAGCAATTAATCTGAAACCTTACCTATTTAGTACTGTCTACTTTTCCACGGAATTTTTCTCCCCGTTCTATATTTACAGTCGTATCAATTACTAATGGTCATTAGCAACTTGTTCTAGCCAGATCAAATCGTTGATAACGTCTGTGCAATTTATTATGTTTACGACGAAATCAAGTTAGCGTTATCATTACTTATCTCTTCTGAGCGCAAAGATTATAATTCGAAATCAGTTTAATAAATTTTGAAATATTCACAACGTTTCATAAAGAAACGTGTCTTTTTCATAAAAGTGATATATTGATAATTCGTTGTTTTATCGTCTCGAAACTCAGCGCAGATACCCTCATCGATCGAAAGGTTGAAATTTAAAAAAAGAACTTTACTCGATAATCGGAACAACTAATTAAACATGTCGTGCAACGGAAGCGAAAAATGTATAAAACGAATCGTCGAGCTCTAAAGTTAGATTTCGCGAATATCTCCGATTCGAAGGGGCAGCCTCCGAGGACCAGGGAATAAATCCGTCCGAAGTGCCATAAACTTGTCAGACCTTTGTCCGCCATCGCTGCTAATGGCCGGATTGCCTTTTGCTTCGAAGCTGACGTTAGAAAGCCAAATTCCCCGGCGCAGAAACTAGCGTACACAACATTAAAGTCAATCGAGATTTTCGAATGTCATTAGTTTTTTCTCTCGTGGCCCATGTTAGATCTTCGACGAAAGGTCGAGGATCTTTGTGCCAAATGGAAGAAGAGAAGAAAAGAAACTTGTCCCAATTTGGTAGCATCGACAAAAAATTAACTCTGAATGCAACAATCCAATTTTAAAGGGAAAATAATCAAAAATAATATTAACGAATTTTGTTTACAACTTTGCAATTATAAAAGTTCACAATTTTCTATGAGTCTCGTAACACGACGACTTCAAGTAACTTATAAATTATTTGTCTCAGATAATATTTTAAACTTCGTTTAATATAATACTTTCTTCTTCAAAATTTAATACTTTATTCAAATTCGCAGAGAAATCATTTTATTTTAAAAACTGAAAGTGACCATTGATAAAAAAGTATTACAAGTACCTTTAAAAACGATGCAACTATTATTCACAAATAATTCATGAGTTATTTTAAGTTGTAATATTACGAGACTCACCCTGTGTATATAAAATATGAATCGTTTAATCGATCAGAACAAATTTTTTGTATTTTTTTGCAATAATAGAAGCTATTGCAGGTAATCTTCTGCTATGGAAAATGATTTCTCCTTAATAGCAAGTTTCAAACCACGATTGCGTACTTGAGATTAGACAATGTCGGACGCGAGACGTTATCTTTTTCGCGGATGAGATTTCCCGAGATGGCAGGATCGCGCAATCGCTGAAATAAGGATCCCCGTACACTATTAGCATCCTCGAATGGACATTCGCGAAGTCGAGTTTTCATGGCATCCTCGTCGAGCATTAATCAGCTTCGCGATAGCCTTTGAGACGCGGTAAAAATTGCAAAATTATTGGTCGGTGTTCGCGTCAAAGGACCCGTTGATATTCTCATAGTTTTCCCTCTTGTTCGCGAGTCGCCTGTTTCCAGGTGATGAATGCTCGTTGAACTCGAGACATTATCAAGTCGATCGCTCGAACAGAATTTTAGTTCAAGGATCTCGCAACCATAGAAACAATCGTAAACCTTGAATCGTACTTGAAATATTTTAAAATCAATTCTATGATGAACCTTATTTTTCCAAACACGTATCTGGCTGTTGAGATAAATTTAATTAATTTCAAATCTATTACAAACTATAATTTTGTTTAGAAAAATAAAATAGTCCCGAAAGCAATGTGAGTTTGCTCGACTTGAATTTGAATAAACGTTCTTCTGTTCGTGTTTTGATCGGCCTAAACGCAATTTCCACTTGTCCTAATGTTTTCGAGCGACGAACGATCGCCTTTGATTTCGAACAACGAATAACGAGGCCCCGAGATCATCTAAAAAATTGATCCGGGTTGTGATCGAGTGGCGATTGAACGTTTTTACGGGATCGTTGATTTTATACCAGATCGATTAGAATCGACTTTTGGCGATGCTCACCGTAGTAAATTGAATTAGTTTTTGGGCGGGTCTGGTGCGCGATGCATCCGAGGATTGGCACGTAGACCGAATTGCGATCGCATTGCTGAATACAGAGCCATCGACGGAGTGTTTCAAATATTTCCAGTTATGTCTCAATCGATCTGTCATCGTCGATCATAACGTTTCCAAGTTTACTATATTTTATATCGGAAACACTGTCTCTGAAATTTTGTTGAAAAATTCTAGAAGCAAAATTGCACCTCCAATTCGAAAATATTATAAAAATAAAATTTGAAAATAAAGCTTTCCCACTAATAAAACAATAATATATATTTTAGTTGTAACGCAGTTCAATGAAAGAAATTAATATATTATTAAATAGTATTAAAAAGTTAATTTTCTTTCCTTGAATCCCCAATCGGTACTCCAAAATACATATACATACATGTATATCAACGCGTTGAGCGTTGCAATAGTGTGCTTATTGTTTTACAATTTATTTTCAATCGCGTTTTAATCAGATGTTATAAACTATAATATTATATTTCTAATTTTGAACGTTTCATAATGAAATCCTCGTCGAACTAGGTGTCTAATTATTGTTCGTTGCATACACGAACGAGAGCATTAATTAACTCGCTGATACATCGATGTCACTAAATCATCCGATAATAAAGATGTACTTATTAATTGTTCTCGCAATGCGCCTATTCTTATGAATGACGGTAGTCATTCATGAAAATACAATAGGCTCGTTATATATCGTAAAAAGTGTGTGTTACGATTGGCTGTTCTCATCTGTGACTGCAGAATATCTCCGAGCTATAATGCAAACACGACTCCGTGTGTCTTATCATTTATGGACTCGTAACTCTAGTTGTACTATTATTACACACAGGAAATCGTTAATATTTTACTGAAATATTACGACCACTTCCCCTTCGATCGATTAAAATTATTTTATTTATTTTTATTCGTGCAGAAATTGGAGATCAATTCAATTTTACACATTTTACAATTGAAATTGTTATCTAAAAAATTAACCAACATTCGCCGATACATAAGATATTGTGTATTTAATTTATTAATTATAGAATCATTCTAGTTACTAAAATTCTAGTTCGTAATTAAAGATAAACAATTTGAAAGGGTCTTTTTAGGGATGGTAGTAAATTCGAAAATTGCATAATGAATAAAAAATGGAATGAAGGGGTGCAAACTTTGCTGGTAATGTATATCGCGGAAGAAGTGCCTGGAATTTCTGTCAAAACATAAATGGAGAAGCATGCCCGATAAATTTAAAGATAGAAAACACGAGTTTAAAGCAACGCGTGTGGCTTCATTGTGGCTTTATGTTGCGTCACATAAAAGGGGAACTGTACATACGTCGTCTAGCGCAGTGTTTCTCAAACTGAAATTAACAGGGACTTTGCAAGCTCTAAAAACAAACATTTAAATATACGTACATAATAGAATGCTCGAAGCATTTTATGCTAATTAAAAACATTCATAAAGAGGCTGGAAAGCTCAGAAGCTTGGCACGACTGAAATTTCCTTCGTTTGTTCGTTTATTCATTGAGTAATAGTAAATTTTAATATATAGATCTCCTTAATTACGAATAAAAATTAAAGGAGTAATACAAAGACAGTTTTATTTGTAAGCCAAATAATAAGAATTTCGTGACATCGTTCGATAGAATTATTATTAAATAGTGTTAAAAAAAACTCCCTAGTAATCATTGACGACTAAATAAATCGTTTTTAAAATTTTTAAACATGAATACATTTTTTTTGTAATGCAATTTTGGTGGACATCAAAGAAGTAGTAATAAGGGATTTTGGTAAAAAAATTTCTATGTGGAGGATCCGTCGATGATTATTTATTTAAGGGAAGTTTGAGAAACACTGATCTAGTGAATCACAGGCTCCACACCAGAGTGCTCGATATTATTTATTGGCATGATAATGGTTATCCTATGTGCATGCATGCAACCGCATGCAAGTCGTTCGCGCTGCAACAGATAGCCAAGGCTCTCTTTTCGATAGTCTTCCTCCAACGCTATGTTCGACGATTAAAGTTGCACTTAACGAACAAACTAGTAATCAATTATCGAACGCGTCGCGTTATAATGCGAATAAATTTTTGAAAAATCCATTATTGTGGAATTGTAAGAAAGTGCTTTATAACATACGATCTTAACAAGCAAATAGTATATTCGAAATTTACGATCACACGTTTTTCATTATTTTTGCAATGATATATTTTACTTTAGATAGATATTCCTACAAATTGGAATATTTCACCCCATAATTATGCAAAAATCATTTTCTATTTCAAATTATAGTAAATTATTGGTGTTTAACACTAAAACTACCGAAATGATCAAAATGATTCGTAATTTCTAATAAAAATTGTAAAAAATTTCAAAGTTTACCGTAGTTTTCTATAAGAGAAATAAACATTTATTTCCCTACATTACATATTTATTCGAGTAACTGTCGTTTTAATTTCTTTGGTTCAAACAAATACACCATAATCGTCAACAATTGTAGTGTCGAATATTTACAAACATTTCCAAAACATACTAGATATTTCTTTTGATTGAAATAAGATTCTATTCAACCTCTATACGAGCGACTCCATTTGCCTTGGACTTGGCTGTACACTAAACAACAATTTCACGGTTTAATCTATGAAACGTCAGCGTCCACCGCGTTCGCGGGTATCCATCTTTGATCCATTACACTCAATCGCATAAAATTCGCAGGCCAATTGAACTCCATGCGAATTAATGTCCTCGATAACGACACCGGTTATCTTAACGTTCCTATAAATTTCAAAATGTCACAAGGGGGCGATTGCACGCGTAGAGTGCAGCCAGATAATGTCTATCGCGAAACATAAAGAAGCATCTTCGGTGCACGTTGCTTATGCGATTTATAAACCTTGTGGGTTTAATTGATCCAATAGCCACGGAAAAAGGATTCGAGACCAAAAGTGTAATATCCTTCTCGCTTTTCGTTATTTTAAAGAAAATTTTGTTTTCAAAATCTATCATTTTTGTTCGTTACCACTCGATTTGCAATTATTAAAATTTTGAATATCTTTTTATTTGTTTAAGGTTAATTTCGTTTATTTAAATTGCATCATTCAAAAACTGTATATTTAAACTTTTTTAACATTTCGACCTCGCATTGTTTACCTAATTCACGTCAAAATTACTTTGTACACCAGTGGGGCTTCTCATTTATCGAAAAATTAAAAATAAAATAAAAACAAGGTCTAATTCAAAGTCGAATTTTGGAGATCGAAACAATTCGTAATGAAATCAGGCGTTTTAAAAATTCTTTCTGCGTTAATTTCGTTGTTGATAAAATCGATACGTTTCGATCTTGTAGACGTTTACTTTTTTGATCGATATGTTTGAAACCAATCGTGCAGTAGGAGGGGGCCGGGGAGCACACGAATCGATCAGCGACGTTACGAAATATAGAATTTATTGACTCGATGACGAGGTGGAATATTTACATGACGGTTGCACGGAAATGATTAATAAGGTTCCATTAAGATAGTCGTATTGTTTCTCAGCATCAAGAATGCGAATGCGAGCGCCACACGTGCGGCGAAAGATGCGAAAAATGCTGTCCCATGTACAATCAGATTCCGTGGAAACCTGGCACAGCTGCGAAGGGCTTTCACTGTGAGAAATGCAACTGCAATGGACATGCAACCTCATGCAGATATGATCGGGAAGTGGCCGATGGAAGAATGTCCATGGACATTCGTGGGAAATTTCGCGGCGGCGGTGTCTGCATTAATTGCACAGTAAGCCCAAATTTCTGAAAAAAAAAATCAATTAACCCGTCACCGATTTAACGAAACGAATTATTACCGAAAGAACAACTTCTTCACTAGACAAGAGACACAAAACAATTAATTAACTTCACTGTTTGAGATGGGATATCGAACTATCCCTTGTAATATTATTCAAGCATTTATTTATTTGTCAATTTATTCGATGGAATAAACGACGGTTTCATCGAATTAAGCTAATTCGAGCAGGGTGGTCGATATTTTAAAAATTACCACCTTTTCGAGTGTCGAGCTGCGACGACTTTAGAAAAATAAAACGCGCAACAATTACACATTTAATAACACGATTTTCATTAACAATTATCTCCACACGCTTAAACGTGTCAAATGTACACATTTTTGGTCGAAATAAAATCGTGGTAGAAATAACGTTAGAATTAATATTTCAAGTTTATATACGAGAAAGTAATCGTAGTGAATTTTCGAAACGTAATCGTAGATGGTAATTGATCGTTTGAAACGATTTGTTGCAGGAGCACACGGATGGAATTAATTGCGAGAAATGTCAAGATGGATATTACAGACCGAACGGCCTCACCCCCGATGCACCCGAGCCTTGCTTGCCGTGCAATTGTAACGTGCACGGTAGCACCGGTTACTGCACTCCTGATGACTCCTTCACGCACCTGGGAAAGGTAGAAACACACTCACGAACGTAAAAAAGAACCGCTAAACACAGTTCGTGTCGATTTAAATTAAATTTGACAGACCGATTGTATCTATGTACAATAAACGCGATTGTACAGGATATTCAAAAAAATTGAATCCAAACTTATACTACGTGTTACAGTTTCCAGGATATTCGAATAATAAAACGAATAAAATGACAGAGACTTTTTTCTTTTGAACAATAATAAATTTACGAATAAAATAATAGACACTTTCTTATTATCGTGTTCCACCAAGGATCTATACAGGGTATTCAAAAAAATTGGGGTCAAACTTGTACTACGTGTTACAGTTTCCAGGATATTCGACTAATAAAACGAATAAAATGACAGAAACTTTCTTGTCTTGTATAATAATAAATTTACGAATAAAATGACAGAGGCTTTTTTGTCTTGAATAATAATTTTACGAATAAAATAACAGGGACTTTTTTCTCTAGAATAATAATAAATTTACGAATAAAATGCAGACACTTTCTTATCATCGTGTTCCACCAAGGATCTACAGGGTGGGGCATATTAAACAGGTCACCTGAATAACTCGCTTGTTTTTGAAGATAGGAAAAAATGCATTAGACCAAACTTACTTGATATCGGGGGGCTCATAATCTGGTATTACCAATTTTTCTGTAGGTGGAGGCGTCAAGGAGATATGAAGGTCAACTCTGTTTTTTTAAATGGTTTTTTTACTTACATTCTGATAGAATGTTTCAAGGCGGATACAATGATCTATTATGAAGATCATTCAAGGTCACCCAAACTCAACCACAATAGAAAATAAATTGTCTCAGAGTACTTTTCGAATACTTGTGTATCACGTATGTGTATTACGTGACACGGGTCACAAAAGATAAACAAACATTCAATCACATTGTACGCTTATCTGTATCCTCAAACATTATTGGTAATTTGACTACCGACTAGAGTACAACTTCGTAATATTTATTTAGTCTAAGTGTTCAGTTTTCTAAAATACATTACATGATAGCAGAGAAAGTAGAAATGGTTCTTATTTATGGTGAATGTCATAAAATTATGAGGGAAGCGGTACGTGTGTATGATGAAAGATTTCCCGATCGTAATAATAGACCTTCACTTTCTGTCTTTACAAACATTATGAAAAAGTTCCAAGAAACTGGAACTGTGGATAAGAAAACACGTAATTTTGCCAAACGAGCAACTGATGATGGAAACTCGATAAATATTGTAGCAGTTGTAATACGAGATCCACATGTTAGCACAAGACAACTGGAACGCGAAAGTGGGATCAGTCGACGAAGTATTTTACGAATATTACACATTAACAAATTTCATCCGTTCCACATATCACTTCATCAACAATTAACTGAAAATGATTATACAAAACGTTTACAATTTTGTGAATGGGGCTTACGAAAACTAGAAGACGATGAAATGTTCTTGAGTAAATTGTTATTTAGCGATGAGGCCACATTTACAAACCATGGAGCAATTAACCGTCACAACATGCACTACTGATCAGTAGATAATCCACGATGGTTGAGAGAAGTCGACAAACAGAGACCTTGGTCTGTAAACGTCTGCTGCGGCCTTCTTCATAATAAAATAATTGGTCCATATTTTATTGATGGCACGATAAATAGTAGTAAGAACCTGAGAATCTTAAAAGACGTTTTGCCAGAATTGTTAGAAGACACTTCACTGAATATACGACAATCCATGTGGTTCCAGCAAGACGGATGTCCTGCTCATTCAGCACGCAATGTTACAGAATTTCTAAATAGAAAATTTGTAGATTGTTGGATAGGTCGATCAGGAAGTAACAAATGGCCGGCACGATCCCCAAACTTGACACCTCTCGATTTTTATTTGTGGGGAAACTTAAAGGCAGATGTGTACCGCGAAAAACCAACTAACAAACTTGACATGCAAGAACGTATAAGAAGAGCTTGCTCTGTAATAGATACAAACGAAATTTGCCAGGCAGTGTCATCAGTATTGCAACAATTTAGACTATGTATCCATGTTCAAGGTTGCCATTTTGAACACTTGTAGTAGCAGTATCAAAGTATCCAAGTGTTCAAAGAGTGCTTTGAGACAATTTATTTTCTATTGCAGTTGACTTTGGGTGACCTTGAATGACCTTAATAAAATAAAATAGGTCATTGTATTCGCCTTGAAACATTCTATCAGAATGTAAGTAAAAAAACATACTGTTCCATTTAAAAAAACAGAGTTGACCTTCATATCTCCTTGACGCCTCCACCTACAGAAAAATTGGTAATACCAGACTCTGAGCCCCCCGATACCAAGTAAGTTTGGTCTAATGCATTTTCTCCTATCTTCAAAAACAAGCGAGTTATTCAGGTGACCTGTTTAAAATGCCCCACCCTGTATACAGGGTGTTGTTGCACTTACAACAGAAGTTCCTGTTTGCGAGCAGATTTCACGGACGAATAAATTAAAAAAAAAAGAAATGAAATTCATTTGCAAAATGTTACCAGTAATTAAATGATAGACGAAGGGGTTAAACACCTATCATGTTCTAGGTAGCAGGTGCTTGCGATTGCAAACCCGCCTATTCCGGATACAAATGCGACCAATGCGCCGCTGGATATCGTCAGTTCCCGGATTGCATGCCCTGTCCGTGCGATTCCCGTGGGATTCTCCCGTCCTACGACTGCGAGGGAGACTGTCTTTGCAAGGCGAACGTTGCCGGCGAATTCTGCGACAAATGCAAACCTGGACATTTCGCGCTAACGAAGGAGAATCTCGACGGATGCTTTCCGTGCTTCTGCTTTGGTGTCAGCGACCGTTGCAGCGTAGCCAGCCTCTCTTATTCCTCGGTAAGAAATTCTTGAAATTATTTACAGTTCGGAATTTATATTACTATTACAGGTTCGGAAACGCGAACTAGAATTTTATCTACTTTGTTAAAAATTTCTTTTAACGCTTTGACTGCCAAATGTGGGTGACTTTTCATTAATTCTCAAGTTGAGATGTCGAGGGAAATTAATTTGAATTTTAGGTTACAAAAATAAGTACTAAATTTCAACCCTTTGCACTCCAATGACGTCGCTACGGCGACATACATAATATGTATCACAACTAAATTTAAGATTTATTTGTAGTAACAAAACTAATTAACGAAACAAATGAAGAAATTTTAAATTACAAACATTCATAAATTTCTCTGGGGAAAAAGGGCAATTTTAATATTCCTTGAAATGGCATTTAGGTAGCCAGTTGCTTTTATTAAAATTAATTCTTGATGTGCAACGGGTTAATTTGTGTAATTTACAATTGTCTGAAATCAAAGATTTGCTATTATAAAAAATTGTACGGTTTTGTTCTGACAGTGTTAAGAAGAATGATGAAATTTTTAGAAGAATATAGCTTTAAAGGATGATAGAAAGTAGCCATTTTTGGTTCCTCTAGGTTCTACTATTCTCTAAAAGTAACAATTTATGGAGAATGTTCGATCACCTCGGGGAAAAATATGAATGGGAGATTCTAGAGGCCAAAATAGGACGAACATAAGGAATACCAATTCGTTGTTTGAGGCTTGGTTAAAAAGTTATTAACGTTTAAAGTTCCATGCCAATTGGAAAATTTTTTCGACGAAATTAAAAAATTTCAAATCGTTCTAAAAAAATTATTTTTAGTTACGGGGGTCAATTACAATCATTTTTGGTGAATACACATGCCCTCGAAATCATACGCATTTTCGAGAAAAGAATTCATTACCGAAAATCTAAAGCGAGGCCAGAAATGTTTCCTCGAAATTTCATGCGTATGTTTAAAACATAACTTTTGAACAGATCGAAGGATTTGAATGTTTCAAAAGGCAAATAACGCGTATTTTAGTAAAGAATATGTAGAAATTCTAATATTCGAAAAGTTGTTTCTCAACCCCATAAAGTGAGAAAACTCCCAATAAAAATGGTCCAATTTTCAAATGACCATAACTCCTACAATAGTGAATAAATTTCGACGAAATTTTTTAGGGAAGTAGAGCTCACGGGTACCTACAAAAAAGTACTAAACAACTTTTCCATAACAGGTCAAATAAATGTACTAAAAATCAAAAATGTATTTTTAAGAAAAATTGAAGGTGCCTAAATTTTTTGGTGAAATTGAAAAGTTTCAAATCACTCAAGAAAAATTATTTTCGATTGCAGGGGTCAATTACAATCAGTTTTGGTCATTATAGACATACCCCAGAAATCCTACGCCCTTTCGAAAAAAAAATTCGGGTAGGTGGGCAAATTTTATTAATAATTTTCAACAATAATTTTGTTAATAACTTTTTAATGAAGCCTCAATCAACAAATTGGTATTCTTGATTTTCGTCTTATTTTGGCCTCTAAAATCTCTCATTAAAATTTTTCCCAGGGGGGGCCGAATACCTTGTATAAAAACAAATATCGACAGAGTTCGTCCTTAATATTTTTTAATTATAACTTGGTTCTTTCTGTAAGAGCACTGGTATCTTGAACAAAAATGCCCAAAATTTTGATAATAATATTAAAGAAATAATTGTGGTATAATAAGAATCTGAAAAATGGTATTTTATTCCTGCTACGAACAAAGATATTGCAGTTTAAGAAGAATAATAAAATTTTTATAAGAACAGCCTTTTAAAGGATGCTAGAGAATGGCCATTTTTTATTTCTCTAAGTTAATATATTTTAATTATATCTTCCTAATAAGGCATTGAAAAGCCCATATATTTTAGGAAACACTGTTCCAAGTATTTCATGATCAAATTTTAGATATCGTCTTTGGAAAATTGGCTAGTGACCGACATGAACGCGTCGAACGCCATTGTCCCCGTTTTGGACACGGATAATGGTTGTCTGACTGTGGCAACCTTCGAGGTCAAATACGATAGCCTCTTCTGGTTGGCTCCGTCGATTTATTGCGGCAATCGTCTCTCGTCTTACGACAGCAATATTACTTATTCCGTCACCTGGGACTTTATGCGCGGCGACAACAGCGGCGAACCAACCACGGGACCCAATCTTATTCTAGTTGTGAGTATCCAGCATATTACGAGAAGATATTTTAGTCTCCTGGTGGAGAAACAGAGATCGTTTTGACGTTGATCGGAAAATACGACCGTTTCGAGTGTTTGCGTTTCAGTCGTTAAAATTTAAACGCGTAAAATCAGATTATTACTCGATCCTTTTACGATTCTATTTGTCTTCCAACTGTCGTGCACAATGAATTAACGCTAAATTCCTCGAAACCAGCCGTTACCAATTCTTAATAGTTTACTTATAGACAGATATTTGCACTGTCGTGTTTATGTTACCTTGTCTCGTGGCTATTGCTTTCTCTTGCATAACTGTTTCTAAAGCGTTTAACAGAATTAATGTAAAACAGTTTTAAAATGTTTCGAAAAGGTATTAGAATTTTTCCTGTATTAAAATTATCCCACATAAATATTTTTTATTGCTCGGTTAGATCGAGTCAGAAATTTGGAATTTGTTAGGACGATGGACAAGTGGATTTATTTTACCGTTCGAACGATACAAATTTTATATAAAATGCCGTTTTTTGGTGGTTTTGATTTGTCCAGATATCGAACAGTTGTCGAACCACCCTCTATGTCTCTTTATGAAATATTTTTTTCTTATTCAGTTAGGTGAAGTCCGAAATTTGGAATTTATTAGTACGTTGGACAAGTGGATTTATTTTAGCGTTCGAACGATAAAAATTTAAATCCTTGCGATTGTATTTGCCCCATTAAATAAAATACTGTATTTGGGGGTTTGTTTGGATATCGAGTAGTTGTCGAACCACCCTGTATGTTTATTTCGCTCTTCTTTATTCGTGGGTCTCCGAAAGGCAAATTGCAATGATTGGTATGTTTGTAAACTTAATGTTGCCGTACCGTTGTTTCTCAGGGTAATAATGGCATGCGAATAGCTCACGGCGAGGAACAATATAATGGCAAGGAAGCAGAGATTACCGTTCCTCTACGCGAAAACGGCTGGTATCACGTACGCGGGGAGGTTCAAGATATTTCTACCAGATCAAGGAGAACCGAATTTCGCGGAGATCCTGTTACGAGGGTGCAAATGCTGCAGATCCTTGCGGATTTGAAGTTCCTCATGATAAGGGCGCAGTATCATTCTGTGCAGAACGAAGGAAGGTACGACGAATAAACGATTACGAATGTTTTCTTAATTAAGATTTGAAACTGATTTTACTTTGGTGTCGTTATTTTGTTTCAGTCTGCAGTCCGCGGTGTTGTCTGTTGGAGAAGTGACGGCTAGCGGCGAGAACAGCGGTTTAGTCGAATTATGTGAGTGTCCCGATGGATACGCAGGACTCTCCTGCGAGGATTGTGCGTGGGGATACGTGAAAGTATTCAAGAATGGGACGGATCTTCAAGATCATCCCATGTGCGTGAAATGCGATTGCAATGGACACGCGAGTACTTGCGATCTCGTGTTGGGGGAATGCACGGTAAGTACTGTTGTATTAACACCAAACCTACCGGTACTTCATGTACACCCATTCCTATTATGACCGGTCAAATGACTTTCTTTTTCTCTTTTACGAGGCAACGTACTTCTAATTTTTCCATTATATGTATAGAAAGTTGTGTTTTGATGTTTATTCCTAAGATAACCTTCTCTTTTATGTTAAAAAATTTTTTAATTTTCATCGGATACAAGATAAAACGCTCTGGAAAACAAATTTTCTTTCAAGTCGATACCGTAGTTAATTCCAGAGAAATCAATTATTTACGAAAAAATGGCATAATAATTATGCAAACACCTTGTATACAAATTTAAATTAATTTTCAATTAAGTAAACAATTTATAGTCCAGTTTTATCTCACATTAGTCGTATGACCAATAAGAAGTGCTGAAATTTCTTTGCGTATCTATCGTCAAAGTAATTGTGAAAAACAACATAGAAAACAGCATAAATTATAGTAGCTGGTGCAGTCATTGTATAGAGAATGAAATGCCCTTTAAAATGAGCGTTCGAACAAGTCGATAGCTTTATTAGTTCCGGAGATATAGCGATTTTAGTTTCAAGTCGATGCGGTGGCTAGTTACAGAGATACGAGGATCCGAAGCGTTTGTTTACGTTCATTGGGATCAATGAACTCGCGCCCGCGAAAATAGTAAACAGTGCGTAGTAAATTCTTGGAAATACTACGCCGAAACTAGGTCACTCGGTCACTCAGTCACGAGTCACGTACGAGATAGAGAGGTACGGCGCGACGCGTCAGACGGAGACAAACATAGTTCAATTATGAAAAATACCCTTTTAGATAAATTACGATATCTCGAAAACAGAAAGTCCGATCGACATAAACCAAAAGCCATTTTAAAGGGGAGGCCTTGCCGCTTCTAACAAGGTCTCAATAATTAATAAAACCGTAATAGTTTCGGAACTCCACGCGTCTAAAATTTAATTATTTTTAATACGCGTTGTTAGACTGTTCTAAGACAGTGAAAACTGTAGATTCTCTCCTTTCGTATTTGCTATACATACATATATTTCCTATTTACATCGAAAGCTAACCAGAATTTGATACCAAATTTTGTCTAGTTTTTACAAACAAATATAAATTATTTAACCGGTCGTGGTAGTCAAGACAGACTACATACTTTTCTCAGAAAACAAACAATAAGAATAGAAGTGAATATCGTAAAATTCATTGTACGTATACTATAAGAAAAGTCGTGAAGTTAAATGGCGCTAAAATAATATTGCGTGTTAGAAATTCTAAACGAAGTTTTAAAAACGATCATTTGACTGATCGCTGTAGGTTTAGTGTTAATTTGATTTTTATTAGCATTCTATGATTTGTCTATACGATTAGAAGAATTAATTTTTTATTTGTTTGCGTATGAAGTTTTGCCAGGGTTACGGGAACCCCCAGTGTACTAATAAAGGGTTAATATATAGAACGTAGGAGGCTCGATTAAAAAATTAGGAGATAATGTGTTAGAAGTATATTTACTTTAATGTATTAAAGTCGTTAATATTTTGCAATAATTGTAAATATATAGAATTGAATCGTGTGGGTGTAGCAGGGACACAAACCTCAGTTTGAATAGGTTTCTTCCTTACCTTGAGTTACTTAACCATCTAGTGGTATCACAGATATTACAAGGTCACAGACGAGGAATACGAGTAGACCTTACACCAGAAACGAGGTATGCAAGTAGATCTTACATATTATGGACTTTCGTGGCTCAATCTGACTGCCATACCGACCTGAATATTCGGAGGTGATTTTAGCGTCCTCTTCCCATGGATGGCGGTCAGTTGAGAAACTATTCACTGAATTAGTATTGATGGACAGACAGCTGTAGTGCGTACGTAAATATATTGGACTTGACTATGAAAGAATGAAAAAATGCAATTTTCAAACGATTATAACTCCTAGAATAGTGCATGTATTTCATTAAACTTTATTTCTGAAGTAGAGCTCATGGGTACCTACAAAAAAGTATTAGGCAACTTTTTTATAAGGCTTCAAACAAAATTACTAAAAATCAAAAACAAATTTTTAAGAAAAATCGACAGACGCAAGTGCCTAAATTTTTCGCCGAAAAAAAAATCTCAAATTATTCTGGAAAAATTATTTTTAGTTGCGAGGATCAATTACAATCATTTTTAGTGAATAGACACACCGCCGAATTCGTACGCACTTTCGAGAAAAAAATTCGAGTATGTGGACAAATGTCGTTAAATTGAAAAATTTCAAATCGTTCTGGAAAAATTATTTTTGATTTCAGGGATCAATTGCAATCATTTTTGGTGAATAAACATACCCCCGAAATCCTACTCAGTTTCGAGAAGAAACAGGTGTAGCGTGTGCGTAAATACATGTGAATTGGCTATGGAAGGAATTAAAATTCATTTTTGAATCTGTTGGTAACGTTACGAATGACAGGAAAATGGTAATGGGGTTTCGAGACCCTATAAAAATGGGTCGAAAAAATGTAATACATTGGGTGAAAGATCTACTTGTATACCTCGCCTGAGACAATACTCTTCAATTTTTGATGGATCAATGAGAATCAAAACCAGCTAAAAGTGATACGATTATTAATTAAACGCTAAATAATATTACCCAGGTCTCACCATATGGAGTTTGCTGCGAGTGGAGACCCAAAGAGAGATAGATGGAATCCAAGGTCCATCGATCTCCCTTTCGCAATTTTACAATCTGAATGACTAAACTAAAAAGATAGAAGGAACCAAAGTCCCTTCATCGTCTAGTTTAGTTGTGCCAAGTAATTATTTGGTTTAAACGAGGGATGAAGCTAAATCGTGGGAGACGCGACGCGACGCGATGCTGAACCGTGCAGCGGATCTTGGGATCGAACCTACTGCCCTTGCTAACTCGATCTCAATAGGAAAACGGATGCTGCGCCCCTGAATCGAGGTCTCCATTTCTCCAACGCAACCCGCTGGGAGCCCGAAGGACCAGACATAGGCTGTCTGACAAAGAGAGAGTACCTGAAACAAGGATGACTTCCGCTGGAAGGTGCAAGTTTCCGCAGAAAACAGATACTCCACACCTTTCAGCGAAGAAACATTTTCCTTCACTCGAGTTACCAAGGGAAGGCGTTTAGATCTTTCGGACCAATTGCACGGCCAATCACATGTTTCGTTTGACGAAACAGCGGTGATCGAAGCAAGAAATGAAGGAACGAATGAACGAGAAGCTAAGCTAATAATTGCTTGGTATTGCGGACTTAAAAATCAATTTAATAAAGTCCCTCGATGTCCTTGCGTTGTCGTCCCACGATGTCCCTTGATGTCCCACGATGATGGAGACCTGTAGATAAGCTGAAACAACTAAAAAAGGCTACATTTGCGATCAGTAAAAAAATTAAATATAATAAATTGGGAAACACGAAGCCCTGAAATTAAATAAATGGACACAGTTAAACCAGTGATATAAATATAGACATGGACAAGAGCGCAACATTAGAGACAAGAATAAAATAAGGGAACAAACATATTCACAAACAAGGAGCCAGAAGTGAAATATGTAAGTTGGCCAGACAAATGAAAGCAAGGTGAAACGATAGATTCTAGCCCAGCAGACATTTGTATGTCGAGAAAGAAGTGAGAAATAGAACATTGAGATATCACTCACCACTGTGCCGATAGTGGTCAATAAAACAGATTTTTACATGCAATCTAGAATATGCATCGATCAAATAAAGGAACAAGCAGTGAAATATGGAAGAAGACCAGAGAAATACAAGCGAGACGAAATCCCACATTCAAGCCCAGCAGACGCTTGAAGGTCGAGAAAGAAATTAAAAACGGGGCATTCGGAAATCACTCACCACTGGTCAGTAATGGTCAGTGAAACAAATTTGTATGTGCAATGTAGAATATGCACCAAACAAATCAAGCGAGTAGCAAGAAATCAAATATGTAAGTTGACCAAATATACAAAATTGGGGGGAAACGATACATTCAGAATTTCGAAAAAAGAAATCATAGACGGGAAATTCTGATATTACTCCCCACTGGTCAGCATTGGTCATTATTGGTCAGTATTGGTCAATAGTTCTCACGAGTTCTCACGAGTGGTCAATCGTGGTCACTAGTGGTCAGCATTGGTCACCAGAGTCAGTAATGGTCAGTTGAAGTAGAGCGCAACCCCACGAGGTTCCATCACGCCCACTAGCCCCGAGGAGACAAAGAGAGTTCGTGACCGGCAGTGTAACTTATCCTGAGGCAGAAGAGTTAAAGGGGTGGGGAAACCCGTCCTTGACAACTTCACCAATCAATTAACAATGAACCGTTTCTTAGAGTGAAAATTGAATATTCTACGCAAAATGGTATTAAAAACAATTATTTATACAACACCTACTATTGAGCATTATTTTAACTATTGTCTGATGTTAGTCAATAATTGTTGCAAACCATAGGAATGAAAATATGAACAAATTCGAGGAGACTGTTCGTTTGAATTTCTATCGAGAACTAAGGTCGTACATAACGTATTCGTTTCTTCGACCTTTAGTCCACTATACGATCCTTTCTTTTGTATAAATTTTCATCTTTCTATCATTACTATTACGATTTATTCGCACTCTAACAGTGTTTATTCTTATCCTATTATCTTCGTTGCATTTGTTATCAGCAAATTGTACAGGATTCTGACAAGGATACGTAAAATGCATGAAATAAAATAAATGGGCATGGATAAAGCAGTGACATAAAATAAATATGGACAAGAGCATAACATGTGCAACAAGCAACATTAAAGACAAGAACAAAATAAGGAGACAAATACATTTATGTACGCATAAGACCTAAATATGATGGGTGAAAGTAGTGAAATAGAATGATTTTATATTTCCAATGAAATTAATATGATGGGTGAAAGTAGTGAAATAGAATGATTTTATATTTCCAATGAAATTAATCGAACGATGCCCAATTCTGGACCGTAGCTCTTTTTTTTTTTTTTTTTATTGAGCGTTTTAGGTCACATGCACCTTTTAGGTTATTAGTGACCACAGTTGGGTTACTTAGTGGGGCTAATCATATTTAGAGCAATTGGTATACATTGATGTCTTTTAAGAAGTTTAAAACTTTTCTGCAGGAATCTGTTTCTCGTAAGATCGTTAGTGAGTTTTGTAACTTGTGTTGGATCCTCTTCATATTGTATTTAGGGCAGATTGTCAAGATGTGTTCAATACTATTTCGTACGTTACAGGTGTCGCAGGAATTTGGTTCGGTTTTTGTGATAAGGTATGAGTGTGTCCAGTTCGAGTGTCCTATTCTTAGTCGGGTTATTTTCACTTGGTCTTTTCTATTTAGTAGTAGCGCCGGATTGAAGTCATGTATATTATTTCGAACTTTATGTAGCTTAGTTGGTCTGCTATTTCTCCATTCTTCATTCCACACTTCCGTTTGCGCCTTGGTGCAATGCTTTTGGATGTCTTGATGAGTTGCCTGTTCACATTTCGTTATAGCTGTACTGGAGCTAGCCAGTTTTGCTGCTGTATCAGCCTTTTCATTACCTTCAATACCAATATGGGAGGGAATCCAGGAATATAACACTTCTCTTTTGTCTCGCTTAAGTGTTTCATTTAATTCAATAATGTTTTGGATTACAGTGTTGTTTGTTTCCAAATTTTGTAGGGCGAGTAGGACGCTTTTAGAATCAGTTAGAATGATGGATTTATTGTGTGTTGTTTCTTCTATGTACTTCAAGGCTTGTAGAACAGCTAACGCTTCACTAGTGAATATTGTGAATGTTTCCGGGAGCCTGAATAGGATCTCATGTTCGGGAGTGCATACCGCACATCCAGTCCCCTGTCCTGATTTTGAAGCATCAGTGAAAATTTGCGTATGGTACGGGTATTCATTCGATAATTCAGTATATAGACTTTTGAGAACGTTTGGGTTAATTTGTTTGCCTGCTTTCAGAATTTTATCGAGTATGCAAGGAGGATCTATCGTCCATGGTGGAATTTGATACTGTATTCTTGATATGATTTTTGGTGTATCCATATTTAGTTCTTGCCAGTATGTTTTGACTCTACTATTTAACGGTTCCGGAAGTTTGGGTTTTTCCTTAAATTCATTGAAATGGGCGATGTTAGTTAATTTCTCGTAGATAGGATTTGAAGGCGTTGATAATCTGGTTGCTGCATACGATAAGCTCAGTTGTTTTCTTCGAGTTTCCAGTGGTATTAGACCAGCTTCACATAGAATTGCATTTACCGGACTCGTTCGGAAAGCTCCAGTGACTATTCTAGCTCCGGCATTATGTATAGGTGCTAATAATTTTAGAACGCGTGGTTTTGCAGAATCGTAGACGATTGATCCATAATCTAGTTTAGACAGAACTAAGGCCTTATATGTATTACTTAGAATTTGGAATTCAGCCCCCCAGTTTTTCGAAGCGATGACCTTCAATATATTTAATCTCTTGACACATTCTTCTTTGAGCTTTTTAAGGAATGGCGTCCAAGTGTATTTGTTATCAAAAATTAGACCGAGGATTTTTGGAGTGCTTGTTATCAAGAGTTGGTGCTGGCCTAAGTGTAGCTGTAGTTGGTGGTTTTGTGTTGTTCTTTGTTTTGAAAAAACTGTAACGGTGGTTTTGTTTTTTGAGAATTTAAATCCAGTTTGTAGGGCGTATTTTTGGAGTCTATCTAAATTGTCTTGAAGGATTTGCTGACTGGTGCTTAGACTTTTCCCGGTTATAAAGAAGGTACAGTCGTCAGCGAATATGGTGTATTTAACTGGTTTAGAGAAGACTTCAGCGATATCGTTTATTGCAATCAAGAATAAAATTACGCTTAGTACAGATCTCTGCGGTACCCCATTTAAGATTTCAACTTTCTTGGATAAATTGCCGTTGACACGGACATATATAGATCTGCTTTTTAGGAAATTGTATATAAATTGTATCATGCTTCCACTTATGTTCCACTTTATAAGTTGTTGTATTATTCGGTGTCTCCAAAGCATGTCGTAAGCCTTCTCAATGTCTAAGCATATTGCTATTAGATGTTGTTTTCTAAGGAAGGCTTCGCAAATGTTTATATCTAACATTGCAAGGTTGTCCATCGTCGAACGATACTGTCTAAACCCATTTTGATTTTTTCCTAGTAGGTTATTGGTCTCCAAATACCATCGCAGTCTTTTGCAGATTACTTTCTCTAGCAGTTTGCATAGGCAACATGTCAGGGCGATAGGTCTGTAGCTGTCGATTCGAAGCTTGTTTTTTCCAGGTTTTAGAATGGGCACTACTATTGCTTCTTGCCACTTGGTAGGGAAGACACCATTCAGCCATATGCAGTTGTAGATATCTAATAAATAATTTATTCCTGCTTTTGGTAGTTGTTGTATAAAAATATTTGGAATGTTGTCGGGTCCTGGACTGGAATTTTTAACAGATTTTAGCGCCGATTTTAATTCTGTAGGCAGAATTTTCATGTTAAGGGGGTGGTTGCTCGTCTGAGAGATGATATGCTCGTGTCTTGAATTCTCTTCAACTCTAGCTTTAATTTTGAGAAAGTTTGGGTCGAAATTTTTATTACTCGAATTATTTGCAAAAGTAGTAGCTAGAAGGTTGGCAATTTCTTTAGCGTCTATGGTAATTGAGTTTTCAGAACTCTTGATTGCAGTAATTTGGGAACTTACTTTCTGGCCATTAATTTTCTTCAGTTTATTCCATATTTGTTCACATGGAGTGGTCTTTGTTAAGGATGCGATGTAATTTATCCACGAATTCTTTTTTGCTTGTTTAAGGACTTTTCTTGCTTTGGCCCTTGCCCGCTTGAACTCTATTAAATTGAAATCGGTTTTGTGTTTTTGTATACGTTGAAGGCATGTTTCTTTTCTTTAATTACATTGCAGCATTCATCATTCCACCAAGGGATATTTTTTTTCTCTGTATTATTTGATGTTTTAGGTATGGATTTTGTGGCAGCATGGATGATTAATTCTTCAAACTCTTTTAATATTTGGTTTATTTCCGAACAGTTTGAGGCATCAGGCGTTTGTAATGATGGAAGGTTTTGATTTATTTCGTGGCGGTATAGCGGCCAGTCGGCTTTTTTGAATTTCCATCTAGGTTGTATTATATGGTTATCAGCATTATTGTCTATTAGTTCAATGATAATGGGAAAGTGGTCGCTGTTATATAACTCGGTTGAAATTTCGTATTTAGTGCTGTTGAAAATGTTGGGGCTGCAAAAGGTTAGGTCTATTGAGCTGTAAGAGCCATTTGACATGTTGAAATGAGTGGGTTCGGAATTATTCAACAAGATGATATCTGATTTGAGTATTATATTTCCAATTAGTTTTCCTCTAGTGTCTGTGTTTGCAGATCCCCACATTGTATTATGGCTGTTGAAATCTCCCATTAATAAGAAAGGTTTGGGGAGTTGCTTTATAATGTTGATTAATTCGGCTTCTTGAAATTGGTGGTTATTTGGAATATAGACGTTGCATATACATATTTCTTTTTGATATAGAATGATTGAGACCGCAATTGCTTCAATATTAGTGTTTAGCGGTATTTCTGTGTAATTTAGGCTTTGTTTCATGTAGATTGCTACTCCGCCGCTCGCGATCAAGGCATTCCTTCTATTTTTTTGGACTACTTTAAAACCTTTAATACTGATAGTTTCATTTGCTTTGAAATTGGTTTCCTGCAGGCATAATACACATGGCCGATGATCCTGGAGCAATTTTGGTAAGAATTCAAAACGTGCTTTGAAACTATTAAGATTCCATTGTATAATCTTCCTTAGCATTTATACTTATTGAACGGTATTTTTTTGTTTGATATTTAATTGGTGTGTTCGTCTTCGGAGCACTGAGGAGTATCTGAGCAATCCGAAGGAGTACGAGAGCTCATTGAGTGATCAGCCTTGGTAGATTTAACTAGCTTTCTCGTGATTCTTGTGAATCTGTTTTTGATGCAACGGTCTGTGAGGTAAGGGTATATCTCTTTCATAAAATTCGCTAGAGCTTCTACGTCGTCTGTGTATTCTGTTGCAATCTCTCTAGTGTTGGGAGATCCAAGTGTGTTTTCAATAAAGCTTTTAAGTTGGTAGAAGTTTAACATTTTACGTAGCTTTCATTCCGTTAGAAAATAATAAAATTTCTGTAATTTCATTTTCTGTCTCGCTTCCTCTTGTGTTCATTTCTGTAACCTGTTGAATACATTGGATGTAAAGTCTACTCGTACACCTCGTCTGTGACAAGATAACTTAGAAAGTATTTACCCCGGGAGTAATTTGAATCGATTTTCAAAACTCTTAAACAAAATAGTGCAAATTTAAAAATATAAACATATCTAGCCATGTGATGATAATTTCTCGCATAATTTAGGACACCTTTAAACTAAAGCTTCTGCATTTACCAATTGCCAGTATCAATATTCTTCGTCATAATTTTGCTTTTGAGGTATAGTATTTTATCTACCCACCATTTTTTACAAAATTAAATTAAAATTCTGATTCGATACATATTTAAAGTGTTTTAACCGAAATTTTACAAACAAAAATTCACTGTAAACTGTTCAACTTTGTCCTTAATTCAATTCCGTGTTAAATTGATTCTTCTTCGTGGACGAAACTTAGTGAAAGTGGGGGATTTAAAATGGTCATTGAAATTTTGTTCAATAGACTTGCGAGCACGATACTGTGGGGCCTAAGTGCGATCGTTGCGGCCCCGGATTTTATGGCATCGCCCTTAAGGGCACGCAGAACGATTGCAAGAGATGCTCCTGTCCGCTTTTAATCGAATCAAACAACTTCAGTCCAAATTGTCAGCTCGACGATCCTACCGACGTCGACAGCGGATACGTTTGCACGCAGTGCCCTAATGGATACACCGGCGACCATTGTGAAAGGTAAGTTTAAACGATCGAAACTTTAATAAGCGATACTTCTAATTTCTAGAAACGATTCCCTCAAAATTAAAAGCTAAGTGATTTTGAAAGGAATTTAAAATTGCAAGTTTGAAGGAAAAAATTATAACGTTTGGATCGTATTTTATTTCAACAGTTGCGATGTAGGATTTTTCGGGAATCCTTTGATTCCTGGTGACACTTGCGAGCCGTGCCTTTGCGGCGGAGGTCCTTGCGATCAGGAAACAGGACGATGCTTAGAGTGTCATGGTAATACAGAAGGCTGGAAATGCGAAAAGTGCAAGCAAGCTCATTACGGAAACCCGCTCGAACAGAACTGCTTGCGTAAGTATTTCTTATTTAATTCACAGTCGAGGACAAGCTAGGAGTTGTTTGTAAATTTTTTACTGTTTATAGTTTTATGGGATGTCAACAATTTAGATCACTAGTATTTCTGTCACATTTTTCGGATGGGAGTTTTTCGAATCTGTTAGCGTGATTTTTTAAATATAATTTCAGTACTATTTCACGTCCAAAACTGTATTAAAACAGATTATTTTCTCCAATTTTCGTATATTTAACTAAAATGAAAGATGAAATATTGTTATTAATTTTACTTCGGTTTTGGTATGAGTTTACCAACGTTTACATTTTATGTCTCGAATAAGCCAACAAAATTAGCAGTATATGTATAATTGTCGTACCTCCTTGAGGAAACATTCTAGGGTTTTGTTATTTTCGTCTTTTTGGAGATTTTTTCAAACGAAAGTAAAAGTTTCTTAGTATTGAATTTTTGCATACATAATTATTTACGTTTGACGAATGTTCACAATATTTTTCAAATGAAAATAATAAAATATGATTGAATTATATGTCTTTGAATAAAGTTCCTTTGAAAAAGTGTTCTACTGGTTGAAAATATCAAAAGGATTCTTGGTTAGTGTGATTCTGATTATGTTTGACTGTGTTTGAAGGTATGCAGTGCCAGTAATTTTAACTCTCTTTCGCCCAAAAAATAGTAATAGTAATAGTTTATTTGCAAAAAATTTCCAAAGAAAAAACGCATTTCACACAGAATACCCTCTTAGAGAGGGAGACTCATATGATTAAACGAGAAGTGATATTTGAGAATTTTTTTACAGCATAAGAGTTTGGTGAAACTTTTCTCCGCTTTCCACTTATATGTATATTTAACATTTCAAGATACAGCTATTATTTTTTCGTTACGTTTTATCGACTTTGGATGAAATAATAAATGTTTTTATTCAAGTCTAATATTTTTCCCTTTGATCTAGAATAAAAAATCGAACGACATTTTGTTCATAATAGTACCATAATCATTAATTAGCGTAGTTTCAAACGTTACGCATATTACATATTCTACATCTACTAAATCTTCAGTAACTTTGTTATTTTTGCGAATTTCACATTAATATTTTAGGAGGTAATTGTTAAACCCCTAAACATTGAAAAGAGATAAAGAAAATTTCGATTTTGTCAATTCGACACAGTGGTTTCCCCCCTTAAACATCCAGGAATTGTTTCTAAAAGAGGATAGTACAAATGAAAATTGATCGTTTTAGCGGTGGTAAAAATGAAAAGGGCATCGTTCCAGGTTGCAGCTGCGACCCCTTCGGCAGCAGTTCGGTCGAATGCGACTCGAAGAGCGGTCAGTGTCCCTGCAAGCCTTTGTTCGAAGGTCGTGACTGCTCCTCCTGTATCGAAGGTTACGGGAACGTGACTGCAGGTTGCCGGGAATGCGACTGCGACGTGGGTGCCCTCGACGAGGTCTGCAATCCCGTAACCGGTGAATGCAGGTGCGCGGACGGCGTCCTTGGCTTCCGGTGCGATCGCTGCGACGTCGACCATTACGGGCTGTCCGTGGGAGGCTGCAAAGGTAAGTACCGTTTCAGAATTTTTCGCCAATCTCGCGTCATCGGGCCAATGTCTTCTCTTGCGCGAGTTTAAGGGTCAATCCAGAGTTTCCATACCGTGCAACACAACTTCGCTGGAATCCTATCTTGCATCTCTGCATCTTACATCTCCTACCTCGTGGCTAGATGGACCATTACTCTAAGCACGGTCATACATTTCCAGGTAGACTAAATTCCATCTGTTCTCTTTTTACTTGGAATCGTCATCGTCCACAGTTAGACACATCTTGAAAATTAATGTTATTATTTTCAATATTAATCTTTTTTCTGATGGATAAGATAACTGCAAATTTTCGAAAGATGAATTTTACTATAGGAGAGTAATTTTACAAAAAGTACAGTCAAAAAGACTAAATTCCATCTGTTCTCTTGGACTTGGAATCATCATCGCCCATAGTTAGACACACCTTGACAATTAATATTATAAATTTCAATATTAATAATCTTATTTCTGATCCCTTGGAATCGATCAGACAATTACGTCTGCAAGCTTTTCAGAAGATCAATTTTAAGTTTAATATTCCAAAGATTGTGCATATTCACGTCGAAGAACGTTTCACGAAATTTATGAAATATTGAATCGATTTAAGTAAAAAGTCTTAAAATTGCTATTATAAAAACTACTATACAGGGCGTTCGGCCACCCTTGGGAAAAATTTTAATGGGAGATTCTAGAGGCCAAAATAAGTCGAAAATCAAGGATACTAATTTGTTGATTGAGCCTTCCTTAAGAAGTTCTAAAAACATTTCCGGTCACACAATATATTTTCAGTAAAGAATTTTTGTCTCGAAAGTACGTAGAAATTCAGGGGTATGTGTAGTCACCAAAAATGATTGTAATTGATCTCCGTAACCGAAAATAATTTTTCCAGAACGATTTGAAATTTTTTAATTTTGTTGACAAAGCCCACCTACTCGAATTTTTTTCTCGAAAGTGCGTAGGATTTCGGAGGTATGTCTATTCACAAAAATTGATTGTTATTAACCCCCGCAACCGAAAATAATTTTTCCGTGAATGATTTGAAATTTTGTAATTTAATTTTTTAATAACTTTTTAACGAAACCTCAATCAACAAACTGATATTCTTGATTTTTGTCTTATTTTGACCTCTAGAATCTCCCATTAAAATTATTCCTAGAGGTGGCCGAACACCCTGTATAATCTACCGAATGTTAATTCTAAAATCAAAGTTAGGCTAGAGCTCTGTTCTAAACGAAGATAGATCTCTTCGAATAAAAATCTAAACTAGAATAGAGATTATAATTTAAATAAGTATCATTAAAAAATGGGCAGCGATTTTTGCCGTCCTAGGATGGAAATTGTTCAGTAAATGGCGCGCCGCGCAGAAACGGCATTCTAAGTCTCACGGAAAGTATTTGCAATTCTAAAGAAATCCGACGGGAAATCACCCCCTGCGCGCAGCCATAGTTTCGCCGGTTAGAATGCGAAGTGCAGGTTTCTGGACGTAGGAAACGGCGTTTCAGCGCGGAGTACCGCGAGGAACGCGAGGAAGAGTAATGCACAACGCTTCGTCTTGTTCTAACTAAGCCGTGGATGTTTATCTCGGGGCTTCTTTAAGTATGGGGCACTTATCCGGCTGGACAGGAGTCGTGAGTTCACGATGTTACTCGAGATTTACAAGAGTCGAACCACCCTTACCCACCGGAACACTTCTAACGTATAATCTGTTAGCTTAGTTTTAATTTACGATCGCGATTTCCGCGTGCAATACCATCCAAGGGGTTGCACGCCAGTTATGAAACCCGGAAACGCGGTCAATTTTCAAATATTGTTATACTTTTCTTTACTATTTGATCGGACAAGATATGCCAGTCTCTCTTGGAGTCACTAAATTCCGTCCCAAATTCATTTATTTACTTATTGTAAATTTTACTATTTGTAATTCTTATTGATTTATGGGGGTAGAAAGAAAAGAAACGAAAGACACATTTTATTTCTATAATTTTCTATAAATGCAAAGAATAAAAAAATATTCTTGGGGATTGTTTTCTCCAAGGGAGAGAGGTCTGCATATTCTCTCTGGTAGATTTTCCACTCGTAGACGGAACCTACGCAGGAGAACGGATCATTATTTTATACCCCTGCGGTTTATTCCGCGCAAGAAAGCGCGAGATCGAATCCTTATTTACGATTGGTCGAAACAGCGTTCGAGACACCGTATCTCACAACTGCACGGAGATACGAGGACAGATATCATAAGATACGGCAAGGCTCTAGCTCGCTTTAGCTCATTCCAGCCGTGCCACGACTTGTCTGAGATGTTAATTAACTTCCTGCGACCACGGGAACGCGCCGCTTCTTTCCTTCTCGCCTTCGAATGATACGCTTCGTTTAATCTGGACCGCTCGATTTAACTTATAGATGTTCCCCGGATCTAGTGGGATACTGTTCGATACGAAAAACGAAACTGTTCGTTCCATGGGCTTCTCGAGCGTCCGTAATTGGCCGATTTCAATTTAACACCGTTCCCTTCGATCCTAGCCAAATAACTTTCGTAAATGTTTTGGTCTTCCGTGGAACGCAATAAATTAACCCCTTCGTTCCTTGTACTATTGAAATAGTTATTTGTACTCTCCTCGATATTAGATGACACATGAAGAAATAATCTATAGTATTTGTTTTCTATTGCATATACACTTTGGATTATTATTAGAAATTGATAATTTTTCTAGGCTCGAATAAATTAACCCTTTAGTTCCTTGAACTATTAAAACACCACAGAGGAAATTAGTTATTTGTATTTTCTTCGATATTAAGTGACACATGGAAACATAATCTATAGTATTTAGTTTTTATTGCATATACACTTTGGATTATTACACGAAATTGATAAACTTTCTAGAATCAAATGAATTAACCCTTTCGTTCCTAGGATAAAACCTTCCACTTTTACAATTTCTACGTCGAAAATGATTCCAAATTCAAACACCCCTGAAAAACTAAAAAAAATTCTACACCAATCTAAAACTGCCATAAATAAGATTGTATTACATTAATACTTTACTTACGAATACTGTTATTGCGCCATAAGTTCAGTATTTTTGCGTAGTTACTCCAAACAATACAATAACAAATAATTTAGAAAAAGTTTACTCGAAAAGTCATGGAATTTTCACCTGGATTTTTTAAAACGTATTTGAGAATGAAGCCTAACGAAGCAATTAACGTTAACCGTAGGCACATAGGTCGCGATAGGATAATCAAAGGCGTAATAAGACCTTATTTTCCATATGTCGTCCCGTATGCAAATCGTCAGGGTGCGTGTCTGACTCTCGGTTCACCTGCGAGTCGAGCAGATACGCGTTATATCGAGACGGCCGTAACAGTCGTATATGAAAATAGACGCTGCCACGCAGGCTGCAACCGGGATGCAATTAGCACATCGGTGTCTTAATCGGGACGTCGCGTCGTCCAGGACGAACGTACTTGGATGTTTTTTCCTGCCTGGGAAGCGAGAGGAACGAGAAAAGCGACGAGTCGCGCGTGCTTCGGCGTGCGTCATCGGGACAAGGTAATGGGTGTCGCTGCATTTTTGCGTTCGTTCCTCGTGTACAATTTCGGGGGACACGGATCCGTTCAAAGTCGCAGACACAGAAGCACTCCTTTACAATTATTTTTTTTTTACTTGTAGCACTTGCAACATTCATTATTTTCCCTCGAAAAAAATACTGTGTATACTTCAAACATCGACAAACATATACGTAAAATCCCAATACAAACCAACCTCCAGTTTTCTTTTTAAAAATTAGTGAATATCTAGAAATCGTACCTCGATACAGAAGCCCTCCCTTATAATAGCATTTTTTGTGTATTTGTAGCATATGCAATTTTCATTATTTTTCCTCGAAAAAAATACTATCGCAAGTTAGACCGGAATACACCTGAGGCGGCGGCCAGCCAAGCGATGAGGGTAGACCCTGAGTGACCTTGACTGGCCAATTTAGTCTGCACCGATATAGCTCTGTCGCAGACGAAGTAGCATAGTCAGAGAAGTCTTTCTGAATCGCGTTCCCGTTCACGGATACGATCGAAATTTCTCCCCGCATCGTGCACGTGTTTATACTCTGTTCGAAGCATAGATTTTACCGAGAATCGACTACCGTAACGTTTCGTGCACGCTGGTCGTGTGCTGGCAAACAGCAGATCATTTTCACAAAGCGTTAGAGCCTAGGGCTGCGTTCGAAGACTGAGATCTCCCGAGTCTCTGGCTGAACTTTAGAAACGGACGTGGATTTTCCCGTAGCGATGCATGCAATGTTGGCGGTACCGCGAACTTTATCGCCGGTATTCCTGCAACTTTCACGATTCTGCGCCCTCGGCATTCCACCGGGTAGAATATACAGAGAACAGAGCAACTGTAACTGTCGATCGTGAACATAACGCGCCCGTAAGTTATGAGTTAAGGTCGTTACGAATGGGATAAGTGAAAGTAAATAGTATCGGTGATTTGCTTTGTATGATAATTTATTGCAACTGCTCTGTTATTACTAGACCGCGGGGTTGTGCATTTATGGCACACAGCGTAGAACATAAATGAAAAATGTGTGTACAATGCGTTGGGTCTAATGGAAAATCATTTATTTGAAATTATTCTTTCGTTCTCAATTTTATTCTTCTTTGCCACGATTATAAGTATATGTATATCGAACGTTTTATTTTTGTTTTCTGATTATTAGATATTTACATATGTCGTCGCCCTAAGTTATACCTTACGAAAAAATATGTCTGATTTGAATTTTATAGAAATGATATTTTAATTCGCCAATTTTATGTTCCTTCGGGACATAACTTATTATCGTTGAATAGTATTGTGATAATTTAAAATTAATACCGAATGCTCGTATTTAAACAGAAAATTGTATGCACTTTTAATTAACGGAAGAACTGATTATGAGATTAGCAAGAGTGCAATAGAAATCTCTACGGACAAATTCCAAACATAAGATCTCAACTTATTATATGTATATTCGAGCCTGTTGCCCCGAGGGACCAGCGTCGTTCGTTCATGTTTGTACTCACATTTCTGGAAAATATTACCAGTACGCGGAGTTTCAAGTTTCCGGATGCGTGAACAAAGTTACAGCTGATACAGCTGCAATACCGCTGTAAGCACGACTCTAACGGGTCCCATTGTATACGAATGGTATCAGAATATTTCTCGTGCTAGTAGTTAAATGTCTCAACACATTAACCCTTCGATCCACCGATTCAGGATTCTTTGCTCTCAATCGTTAGTTGCCGTATTATGTATCTTCTTTTACCGCATTGGAAAGTTGAACACCATCATTATAGATCCAAACTCGTGGCATGCCTAAGGGGTTTCAGAGGATTTCATTAAATTGATCATCCATGAAAATTCCATTACAATAAATAGAGTTAGATTGGGGCATACATCTTCTAAAATTATGTAGAAATTAAGCAGAAAGCTGAACACCATCGTTATAGATAAAAACTTGTGTCATGCCTAAAAGGTTTCAGAGAATTTCATTAAATTGATCATCCATGAAAATTCCATTACAATAAATAGAGTTAAATTGTGACATAAATGTTCTAAAATTACGTAGAAATTAGGCAGAAAGCTGTACACCATTGTTTCAGATTAGAAGTTGGGTCATGCCTGAGGGGTTAACAGAAGTTTAGGATGATTTCGTTAAATTGATCATCTATGAAAATTCCATTACAATAAGTAGAGTTCCATTGTGACATAAATCTTTTAAAATTAAGTAGAAATTAGACAGAAAGCTGTACCCCATTGCTTCAGATCAAAATTTGTATCATGCCTGAGTGGTTAATAGGTGTTCAAGTGGATTTCGTTAAAGTGATCACCCATGAAAATTGCATTGCAATAAATAAAAATTCATTGTGACTTAAATGTTCTAAAATTAAGTAGAAATTAGGCAGAAAGCTGAACTCCATTGTTTCAGGTCAAAACTTGCAACATGCTTGAGGGGCTAATAGGCAGCCAAGAGGATTTCACTAGATTGGCCATCGATTTAAATTTCCTATCAATAAAAAGAATCCTACCTAATAGACGAAGCTGAACATGATCTATATTTCGATGTCTCGTTGAGCTTCTTCGAGGTCTAGGGTCTCCCGTAGAAGTGGCTGATGGTTCTCGAGTTTCCATTCTTCACGGATAAGTCGATCTCCCAGAGCGAGTTGCGGTCCGCCCACGTGGTCCACGGCAATCGCGGCCGGGAATCTACATAAGCAGATGTAGACGCGGCGTCGTCGGATAACAGCCGCGAAAATAAAGAACATGGTTTTACAATCGAGCCCAGGGAAATTGAAGGATTGGCGCTGGTTGTTCGACACGAGACCGTTCGTCGTTCGTCGCAGTTCAACGCTCGAACTGGTTCGCTCGTTTTCCTCGCATCGTCTCGTTCGATCACAAACGCATCCTCTCTATTTTGAATTCGCGCTTCGCGGGTTCTCTGAAGAAGTCCCGGGGATTCGTCCGAGCGTGTCGATCGGCGCTAAACACGATCCGACTCGATAAGAAACGACGCCCTCCACGCTAGACGATCACTTATCGGTCGAAATTTATTCTCCCGACTCTCCCCTCGCGCCCGGTACTTCCCTTCCTCGTTCCAATCCCTCGCAACCTAGCGATGGGCCCTCAAGAATCTTGTTTTCAACTTTCCGAGTAAGTCGAAAGACGTTGCTGGATATTTGAACAACTTGATTGTTTTGCTTGTTCCAAATTCAGGGATCGAAAGACGTTGATAAGAGTTATGGATCGTCTTGAGTCCTGTCTGCAAATTTTAGAGTGAGTTTGAAGCTGTTGCTAGATGTTGGAACTGCTTGAAAATAATGTCTGCTTCGAATTCAGGGATTGAAAGACGTTGATAGTAGTAAAGGATCATTTTGAGTTTTGTTTGCAAGTTTCCAGGCAAGTTTGAAGCCATTGCTAAATGTTTGAAGAACTTAAAAGTGTTGCTTGTTTCAAATCCAGGGACTAACAGGAGTTACTAGTAGGATTGAATCTACGTGAGTCCTGTTTGCAAGTGTTAGAGAAAGTTTGAAGCCGTTGCTAGATGTTTGAACAACTCCAAAGCGTTGGATGTTTAAAATTCAGGAATTACATAGTAGTAACGAGCTTCGAAGAGTGTTGTTCGATAGTTAAGGGCGTTTGCGCGAAGTTTGAACCCGTTTACAGACCAAAGCAGAATTCAAACGTTTGACATCGTTTGAATCCCATCGCTACTCGCCGCGGCGTCGTTGGCTGGCCCCGTGTTCGTCGTGATTTTTGCTGGCAGTTGAATCTTTCTGCCGCTACGAGCACGATAAGATACTTTAGAGCGCAATAAGCGGTAATGCTCCGAACGTAGAGCAGATAGGTGCCCACGCTCGGTGATGAGGACCAGATCACGCGGATCGTTTCGAAGCTACGATCCCGCGCGCGAAATAAATCTCCTATTCTCTATCGTGGGACTATGGGTGTCCAGAGATGGACAGATATTCGATGGTTGGGAAAGGGTCGATCGACTCTGGCCACGATGGAGACATCAACGGAGATACAGCGATTCCCTATCGGCGGATAAATTTTTTCTATTAGGTATTTCACGGTTATATGCAGATCCGAAGAATCTCGTTCCTGTAACTTTATTCTCTTCTAGTATCTTTTCCACTTCTGTGCCAACCAGTTTTTATCTTAAAAATAACCACGCAAAATACAATTCGAAGTTATTAGAATCGCTTTATAGTTTCTTTTATAAGTCAGAAATAATAAAGGGTAAATTAACCCTTAAGTGGATTATTGAGGTTGCTGCGGCCCTCTGTAATTTTAAACAAATAATTGTTTAATATATGTCGATATAATTATTTGAAAATTTATGTAATCCTCCATTAGTTCATTATTTTTTAAATGCTTTGAGGGGAGAAAACCACTGTGACGACTGAAAATAAAGGCAATTTTCAAGAATTTTTCGGACGTAACTATAACACTTTTTCTGATAGACGTTTAGTGTTTTTGAAAGTACATTTTTTGAACTATTTCTTGTAAAAATTTCATATAAAAACATTAATTATTATAGCCATAATTGTAACCAGCATGAGAGGCCTCCAAAGTTAGAAACGGACGGATGTGTAATTTTTCACTGCAAGTTGTGAAACATGAGATCATGCAATTTTCTTAAACTATAAATAAGACAGTAGCTTCAATTGCACGTACGGATTTTTAAAAATAATTGTTTATTATAAAATGGTGGAGCTTTGAAAGAAAAATCTCAAAAAACTGTGACAAAATTAATATTTACATCTACTAAATCTTCTACAACTTTGTCATTTTTGCGAATTTTACTTTAACATTTTAGAAGATCATTCTTAAAACCCCAAAGCATTGAAAAGAAATAAAAAAAAAATGTCGACTCTTTCAATACATCACAGTGGTTTCCCCTCTAAGGAAAAGTTGATTTCCATTTACAAATTTGGTAAAAATCAACGTTAAGTAAAATAATTCAGTCGAGATTGAGAGTCCACTTAAGGGTTAAAAAGAAGGGATCGCGACCAGAATACGAATCACGTCCATTGACAATCGCAGCGATAATTCCATTAAAGGTCGAGCGGTTATAAAACCCTGCGCAGTCAGGACGAAATCACGTTTTCAGTACGACGGAGGGTGGGGGTGAAATCGGCAGTAAGTCATTTCTTAGGCGGCACGGAGGGTTCAGAAGAAAAGGCGGGCTACCATTCTCGAATGCCTTATCGATCGTACTGCGGGATAAAACGTCATTCCCTTTTTAAATCGCCGCCGATATACAATACGAAGTGCCGGCGATCCACAGTCCCGATAAGCCCTGTATACGGCACCCTTACGGACACTGACACGGAGGCGACATTTCGCGACTCTTGTTGCCGCCGCCTCTTCTTCTTCGCGCGCTTTCCCCTTTGACGTGGACGATGTTTAGCCCCGCGGTCTTTCACTCTCTCCGGTCGCCGCAAAAACTCGACGAAACCGCGGAATGCTGCCTCAAACCTATCCCCTGGTGTATAGATTTTCGACGTCCCGTCATCGCCGCTCTCAGGGCCGCACACTTACTCTCCGTTGCGTAATTAATCCTTCCGGTCGCTGCTATTTCTCGTTAACGACCATCTGCAATCCACTGGACAATTTTAAGAACTTTGTGGATTTATCTGTTTTTCATAACGTGGAAACTATTAGGTTGTCCGGAAAGTTCTTTTCGCGTTCGTCGCTCAGGGCCTTGTCTCGCTGTGTTAAAGTAAACAAACAACCAGAGCACTCTACCGTCAACTGTATGGTTGTTAGTCATCCTCTGGCAGTACAAGAGAACAGTTTTTGACGTCAGTAGAAAGTTTGTCGAGTGTTTTTCGCCTTGTGAAAGATGGAAAACCAAAAGATGCATTTGCGTCATGTGATGTTTTACTGCTTTAAAAAAGGCAGTACGTTTGAAAATACTGCAAAGAAGATTTGTGACGTTTATGGGGGCCAGTCTATAACTGTTCAAACAGTCCGTAATTGGTTTAGAAGGTTTAGAGCCGGAAATTTTAACCTTAAAGATAAAGATCGCAGCTGCCGTCCATCCACCACTGATACTGACCTTATCAAGGCCTACCTCGATGAAAACCCAAGATCTAGTGTTCGTGAGATAGCAAATGCTTCAAACATCCCGCGAACAACGGTTCATGAACATTTGACAAAGCTTGGATACGTTAAACGCTACGAAGTGTGGGTCCCTCATCAACTGACGGAAAGCAATCTTCTGAACCGAATCTCAACATGCGATTTACTCATCCAACGTGACAAAAGAGAGCCGTTTTTGAAAAGTTTGATTACTGGGGATGAAACTTTGATCCTCTACGACAACACTGCACGCAAACGATCTTGGTCGAGTCGAAATAAGAGTTCTTTAACGGTAGCAAATGCTGGACTTCACCCGAAGAAAATATTGCTTTCAATTTGGTGGGACTGGAAGGGTGTTCTTTACTACGAGTTACTTCCGCAAGGGCAAACGATTAACAGTGAGAAATATTGCACCCAACTCGAAAAACTGAAAGAGGCTATCATTGCAAAACGTCCAGAATTGGTGAATAGACGTGGCGTCGTGTTCCATCACGACAACGCGGGGCCACACGTTTCTTTACCTGTGCGAACAAAACTTTTAGAGCTTGATTGGGATGTTCTACCGCATCCTCCACACTCTCCAGACCTTGTACCATGGGACTATTATTTGTTCCTTTCCCTCAAAAATTTTCTTCACAATAGAAAATTCACATCAGTTAATGAAATAAAAAACGGCCTCGAAGAATATTTTAACAGTAAGGCAAGGGAATTTTGGAAAAGCGGCATTATGAGGGTTCCGGAGCGATGGCAAAAGGTGGTAGAACAGAACGGATCATATATTATTCAAGAATAGTACACAGAACCCAAAATATTTTATACTTAATACCTGTTAAAAAAACGAAAAGAACTTTCCGGACAACCTAATATATTTATTGCATCACGATTCCCCATTTACTGAACTTCTGGGCTCCTTTTATCCAAATTTTATTTATTTATTTATTTACGGGTTGGAATCTCTTTTGTACACAAATAATGCACAGAAATAGTAATATTACAGTATAGAACAATACCATAGAAACTCCATTTATTGCATCACGATTCTCCAGTTACTAAACTTCTGGACTCCATTTATCTGAATTTTATTTATTTAATTATATATGGATTAGAATCTCTTTTGTACACAGATGATGCATATAAACAATAATATTACAGTATGCAAAATTATATCTATAAAAGAATCTTACAAACTATATACTCAAACACAGAAGTGACATTTTTCTACAAAATAACTGGCGCCGGCAGTGGGTACAAAAATTTTGTAGATTATCTGAGTTGTAATAGCTGCGTCATCTTTCATAATCAAAGTAAGTCACGCGATTTATGTTCTGTCATAGTTGTGTGAACAGCGATTGTGTTTGAATACTCGATGGACTCTGACTCAATTTTGACCCGTAGAAACTGTTTGTTTTAGAACCGTAATGTTTGACCTTTCGATTTCCAGTAGGAACTTACGAAAGCAGACGATATTAATATTATAATGCAGAAATTCGATTAGGCAACTTTGCAGTAAAAATAAACGAAATTGAGATTCAAAATGGACGCTCGATCCGAGGGTCAAACGGTCGAAAGCACGAACGAAAACATACTTTTTGCATAATTTCGCGAATCTCGATGCTCGCGAGCTTTTTTCTCCTCAACTATGGAAGTTGCAGCGCGTACGAAAAGTGCAGCAAACGTTTCTTATCGGCGTAGAAAGCTCCGTGCAGCCTTTATCAAGGAGAGCGATAGTCCCCGCGAAGCAGAAAATAGTTACGATTATTATCGAGATCGAAGATTGAAAGCTTCCTCGATCGATTCCCGATCATTTCTAGCAAGCCCGAGCTCATCGATTTCGTATGTCATTTGCACTGAATATCGGAAAGCCGTTGCTATCAGATTTAATTGGTGTTTCTCGATCGTTTCTACGCCTTCCTCCCCCTGGTACCGTCCGCTGCTCGAGATCTAGCTTTCTCTACTAGCGAGCACGTACACTCGCTAATGATGCAATCGGCCCATCAGATACCTAGACCGGCTGCCTTCCTCCTCTTGCTCCTTATTTCCGCGCTGCTCGCTTCTTAACTCCTTATATACTCACCTGACCGTCTAGAACGTGCTAGTCTGGCCGTCTAGAACGCGTGGGCCGGATCTCTAACGGGTGGACCTTTGGTTCCATACCACTCTTTCTCTTTTCGATTTGGTTTCAAGGTACCATTCGGTCCATTCATTCCAATCGTCTCGAAATCATCGCTGAAATTAATCGTCGCACTTGTTTTCATTATTTTCTACACAAATTTTTTTTATGGTACAGTAAAATAATGGAAGAAACTAATTTCTGTAAACAAAAGAAGATTCCAGGGTTAAAATTCGCAATATTTATACACTAAATGTAAAATTAATTTTGTAAAGGTAGAATATTCTATTATGTAATAATCACACTTGTTTTTATTTCTTTCTACATGAATTCATTTTTTTTTTTTTATGGTACAGTAAAATAGTGGGAGAAAATAATTTCTATAAAGAAAGGAGGTTTCAGGATTAAAATTTGCAATATTTATACACTAAATGTGAAATTAATTTTTTAAAGGTAGAATACTCTCTTATGTAATAGTCACACTTATTTTTATTTCTTTCTTCACAAATTTATTTTTGTTTCTTTTATGTTACAGTAAAATAGTGGAAGAAAATAATTTCTATAAGCAAACGGGGATTTCAGGGTTAAAATTCGCAGTATTTATATACTAAATGTGAAAATAAGTTTTGAAACGTAATATACTGTATTATGCAAGAATCACATATTTTTATTTTTATTTGTATTTCTTAAAATTCGCAATATGTATACACTAAATGGAAATTAATTTTTTAAAGGTTGAATACTATGTTACAGATACAACAAAGTAAATAAATAATAAAATGAGAAGCAATATAAATACATATGAATTATCTGAATCTAATTGTATATTATCAAAACGTTCATACATATTTCTTTAGTTTCTTCATAAATATTCTCATTTTCACTATCAATTTCTTCCTATCCTTAAGAGAGTATTATAGATATATGTCAGCCCCAACAATTTTGGTATTTAGAGCTCGTGTATCCTCTTTTTGTATCCGCTTATAACATTTATTTTGATAATATACAATAACACATCGTCCCCTCCTACAAACATTAATTAATCAATATTAAACTCTACCTCAATAATGATATTACACAAAATGAGTGCGTGCGTTTGACAAATGCTTTCCGTCGCGTTTAATTTTGTTCGACGTTAAAAATCTAGTACGTGGCGTGCCAGACAACGATTACGTAATCGGTACTGCTTGGAAACACCCGGTAGAGGCTGTTGTATCTCAACACCTGGCTGCAACACGTTCAGGATTCCTGGTAGAGAACCAAGCCCCGGCGAATAAACGTTAATGTATCGCCCCGTGTCAGACGATTGCGAGATTTCATTCATGAAATCTCCTGGAACCCTTGTAAATGATTAGCCAAGAAACGAGCCGTAGTTGGACGGTGGAAGGAAAGAGAAAGAGAAAGAGATCGATGAAACGCGAGGGATTTTCATTCTTAAAATCGCAGCGCGCAGAAACGGGCAGCGATTAATTTGTAAACGACTACGGGGCACCGCGATCGGACTAATTATACCTGCCGCTATTTATTCGGACTCGTGACTTATTTATAGCCAAGCAAAATCGTGCAAAGTAGTAACAAATTACTGTGGAAACCGTGCAATATTTTCGAAGTCGACGGGAAATCCATGCAAAAAGTTTCGATGCATTCTTGTTGTGGTACTGCGCGTGAAATTGCTTTGCTCTTAGTTGCATTACACGGGACATTTCAGATTTACGTGACCAGATTTCAAGTATATGTGCAGAAACGTTTAGAAAAATCAATTTTTTCTGCGGAAGTGTGCTCAGAAATGTCTCTGTTATAAGTATATTTATTAATTCCATTCAGAATACATATGAATAATACCTTCTGGTAATCATTTTAAACAAAAACGATAATAACGAAAATAATAATTAACGTAAAATGCAGCTTGTAGATATTTATATTAGGAATTTTGTAGAGATATGCGCGTTGTTTAAAATTGTACAATGTTGCCTCTTAAATAAGAAAATTCCCAAGATATCTATTCCCTTTTCTCATACATACATGCAAGACCATAAGAGAAATTAATTTTGTCTATGGAAATATACTCAGAAATTTCTCTGTTATAAGTATATTTATTGATTCTATTAAGAATACATATGTGTAATACCTTCTGGTAATCATTTTAAACAAATTTAATGATAATAACGAAAAATGTAGCATGCAGATATTTATATTAGGAATTTTCTAGAGGTATGTGTTGTTTAAAATGTTTCCAAAAATTTCACAATGTCGCCTTTCAAATAAGAAAATTCTTGAGATATCTGTTTACTTTTCTCGTAAATGCGAGAAGATTGCGTATTACCTTGTTCTAACGCTCGAGTACGCACTATAGTTTCCAGTTCACGGCTTCGGGAGCCATAATAATTAAATAAAAAGCTTGATCGTACGGCGGGAAAGAAATCGCGCGTCGATAAGATTCTCGGATAATTGTACGCGTCCATTAGCTTTTCGATTACGCGGAAACATCGAACGCAACGCCTAAGTGGGCACGCCTCGCAACATCTTTGACTTAATTTGTTGGCGAAAATCCTGCTTCGTTTCGTTCTGGCTATTAGCAATTAGTTAAAGGTGGATTAAAGCACCATTAGCGGCTTATCTGACTCGTATCGTCTCGATCCGCGGCAGTTTATCTTTTAATTCCAACCGTTTACAACACACGTTAGCGTCCGTTTTAATGTGTTACGCATTCTCAGCGCTCCTCGAGAATCGATGCTTTCCAAAAAATCTGTTCGAAAAATTCCCAACGTGTCGGTGAAAATTGTTTTAAATATTTTATGGAAAGAAAATATATAAATGATAAATTCAGTTGTTTTCAGGTTCGTTCCCTTTACTTCTGACAAATTATAACCCATTCTCCTATCTTCGATCGTGACATTAACGCTCTGAATTCTTCGATGACACTATTACCCGTGCATTGAAGTCTCCCGAGAGTCCGGGGCGACTCGTCGCGACGTTTATGCCAGCATTACATTCGCGATTATACGGCCCCGGAATATCTTATTCTAATATTATTATTGTACACAAAATATTCAAACGACTCGATTTACTCGATCGAAAATATGCAGTTATGTAAATACAATAATCTTTTCTGTATCTTCAACCGAACGGGATACGCGATAAATAGTTATTTTCAATGGGCTGACTCGCAGTTTACAATCTAACCGATCGAATCTCATAGTCTTGTACAAACAAATCCCTGACTCACGGGTCTGATACGATCGTTGAAAATATTTCACTGAGCTCGATACGCGTGGCATAGTTTGAACTGCGAATTTCTGACCAATTAGTCAATCGCCTGGAAGACAATGGTGACTTTTAGAAAACTTTCGAAATTAAATCTTTGAGAAATAGGAAATATTAAAATATTCAATTCTCGCTTAGCCAATTCTTCCTGCTTTATACAGCAATAAATTCAACAGAAATGGGATATTAAAAAATGGATAAAATTCCT